TGTAATCAAGAGTATAATTATATAGGGGGTTATGATTATACTCTTGGTACATGTGCGTACATGTACATGACTGTATAATGACATAATAATGTAGGTCTACGATTACGTCATCATGTGTGGTTATTAAACCGACAGTGTACATGTACTGTGTTGAGGTTGAGGTTGACTGCAGGAATACTCGCAGAGTTGCAACCAGGGAGTCGAATACGACTGACTCCCTGGCCTGGTTGCAGACTTGTGCTGTGTTGTTCTGTGTACATGTACATGTACAGTACATGACAATGTACATGTACGTGTACGTCGAAAGTACAATCATGCACTTGGTACTGGTAAGCTTTATGCTCTAGCGGATGCGCACAGGGTCCTCGAGAAAACAGCCAACTTGTAGTATTAGTTGCCCAAAATTCCTCCATTTTTAGGATATGCAGACGTTGTGTGTCAGGAGCCTTGGCTGCATAGACATGATATGGTCAAAGTAGGAGTACGCAGGACATACATGTACATGTTACACATGTACAATGTGCATGGTACATGACTGTACATTAGATTGACAGCATGAAACAAGTTCTGAACTGGTACGAGTCGTATTGGGTTATAATGTACAATGTATGCTTCCACCAACTACATGTATACAGTGTGTATTGTGTACCATGGATGGTACATGGTGTACGGCCCGCCGAGTCTCTTGATATCCCACTCGCATACAGGACATGCAGTATCGGTCGTGGTAATAATAATTATATTGCTTATTCTACTGATACGTTGCTCAAAATCAGACACCAACGCTATACTCAGAGTACATGTACATGTCCTACAAGTGTTGTACATGTATGTGTAATCAAGAGTATCATTATAGCCCTAGTATACGCTATAGGGGGTTATGATTATACTCTTGGTACATGTACAATGTACATGACTGTATAATGTACATGATGTCGGTTATAACCACACATGATGACGTAATCGCATAGCGTCATATGTACATATGTATGTGTAATCAAGAGTATAATTATATAGGGGGTTATGATTATACTCTTGGTACATGTGCGTACATGTACATGACTGTATAATGACATAATAATGTAGGTCTACGATTACGTCATCATGTGTGGTTATTAAACCGACAGTGTACATGTACTGTGTTGAGGTTGAGGTTGACTGCAGGAATACTCGCAGAGTTGCAACCAGGGAGTCGAATACGACTGACTCCCTGGCCTGGTTGCAGACTTGTGCTGTGTTGTTCTGTGTACATGTACATGTACAGTACATGACAATGTACATGTACGTGTACGTCGAAAGTACAATCATGCACTTGGTACTGGTAAGCTTTATGCTCTAGCGGATGCGCACAGGGTCCTCGAGAAAACAGCCAATTATGCTTCTACATGTACATGTATATGCTTCACCAAAAGACCAGATGGTCATGAAAACTCATACCATTGTCATGATGTGGACTGGGAGCTTTGTGGATGTACAAGACAATAATATGCAAGAGGAATACCAAATTCACAAGCAAACGCTGAACTTTTGGGAGATGTCCTATAGCGGTTGCTAAATATTATTCCAAATCGACAAGAAGCGCTATGTATGGTCCTTCTGCAGGTGTATATGCTAGTAAGAGCCTCATTAGGCATCTGCCCGGTCTTGTTTTTCGGATGCCATTTTATGCTCCTTCTCAAAAAGGACCCTATTATGCCCAAAATTGTGCCTTCAATAATGCCTTCAATACAATAGCAGGTGTGTATAACAGCCTCATTGGGCATCTGCCCGCTTGTTTTTGAAGGTGACCGCGCTTCTCATGCTTCGCATATGTAGCGGAGAGGGAGTGAGCCTGATTTGAGGTAGCCAAACACCCGAACATCAATTTGATCAAAATACACTGAATACAGTCATGTAGGGTCGCTCAAACCGGCCACCCCACACTCCACTGGTCGCAACATCAAGGTGAGTAGAGCGCCGTCCTCCCGGTTTGCGGTGCGGTGGCGAAACCGCTCTCCAGATATCGGCTGGAGACCCGGCTCCGCTACAACGTAACGGTCGTTATAGGCTAGTACCTGATCCAGGAGCTTAGCAGCGAGTCCCAGTCACGTCTCGCAGCTCGTTGTGCCGCAGGCCGGATAACCTCCAGTCGGGCAAGATAAGGCGTGTTGTAGCGAGAATGCCATGCCACCGTCACAAACCACGACCTCACAGGCGCTAGGCACACTGCTGAGGCAGATGTCACGTGACGGTGTTCAACCATAGCGGGACAAAGACGCCTTCGACGTCCCGAAACGGCGAAAGGCCTGCTTGTGCAGAATCAGGCCATGAGGCATGACGCTCAATTGTCGTATCTCGACTCCACCGTACTGCCGTACGACATAATGTACGACATACTACACCGTACACGTGTATCTAGATCATGCTGCATGCTGCGAAGTAGGAAAATCTAAAAATAACGATGAGTGGACGTGATGCATTGGACAAAGCATACCGCGTATGAAAACATTGGCAAAGTAATAGTAAGAGCTGATGGTGAAAGGACCATAGAGCTCAAAGAGAGAAGGTAAAGTGTACCTAATCGATACTATACCGGGGGGGGGGCGACCGTAGTACACCGTACTGCTGTACGGGTACGACGCTGTCATTTTATGCTACAGGTATAGCTTGCGAGCTTGTATTGCTAGAGTCAGCCTAATTAGTTGTTATTCAATAATATTGCAGTGGAGTTAGCTGTTTGTTCGTTAAAATTATTCCTACTTCTTGTATTACAATGTGTGCCAATATGCGTTATGTGACTTGGTACTGAAAAGCGTTCCTGACATTTTGAGAGACTCCAAGGGTTCATAGCCGTTGTTGTTGTCGGCACGACTGCCACTGATCAGGCAGTTTTCTAAAATTGGAATACGCATGCAGCTGGCAGCCTGCAATGCTTCAGTCCTGTACTACTGTAGCCGGCGCCAATCGCATACCACTTCTACCAGCCATCCAGCGGCATTGCCATACCTAGTATACTACTTAGTGCCATATCCAGTGTATCATCTGCTTCTTCTGGCATCAGCAGATCCACGAGGGCAACGTCATCACCAAGTTGTGATCGATGGTAGTTCAATGATCAGCAATAGCGGCGTTTCTCAGACATCTGCTAAGAATAATGTCAGTGCATTACCTGTTGTCTGTTGTCTCCTCGCGGCCTGGGCTCAGCCGCTAGCTGATATCACTACTAGTACTACACTGCTGTAGCCGCGTGTAGGGTTGGACATGATGAAGTCAACTCGCTCCCATATATGCGTCGCATCATGCATAGCATCAAGACTGACAAGAGTGCATAATTATGATAATGCCGGTCCTTATGGACTCTTGATAGCAGCATGCAGGTGGTTGGGTTGACCCGCCCCACTACACGTGCTGCGGTTGTCTCTTACCCGGGTCCGCGATGTTTACGGTCTGCTCTGGTCTAGAGCCATCGCACTGCATCATCCTGCAATTTTGTAAGTAGCGCGCCCATTCTTTCAGAGAGCTTTCAATGCTAGTATACATGTATACAATCATGTATACAGTAAAACCTGTAACTAAAGACCACCGACCCGTGACTAGCGACCAGCCTGCTACTACAGACCACTTCGCTATGCACGGACAAACAATCTCACATTCAATAAATTCTGGTTGTGTGGTGCAAACCTCTAACTAAGGACCACCTGCCACTAAAGATCACTTTCTCTGGCCCCAAGGGGTGGTCGTTTAGTCACAGGTTTTTACTGTCCATGTAAATGTACCTGGTGTACCTGTGTGTGTGTCTGACGCTCCCAGGAGAATTCTGCCCGACACACATGAACACAGTCACCACGACCCGGACTGCACAAACACAAGTAACATCACGGCGCCAGTGTGGTTTGGTCATGATTGTACATGCACATGTAACCGTTTAAACTTTAATACCTACATGCCTCTTGCAAAATAAGCACATGTCATGTGCCGATACTGAGTTGGCAATAATTGCCAATTATGCTTCTATAGTATATGCTTCTAGAATGAATTATTCGTTCTTCGATCACACGCAGGTACGAGGCATGCCATGGCACAAAAATACTGTAAAGTCTGAGCGCGGGAATTGGAAGGAGGTGTCACTGCCACTTGTCACACTGTACCGCGTGATGTGATCGAACCAAGCAGCTGGACGAATGTGTCAGACTCTGAACAGTCCGATGATAGTGCCATTGTGGTGTGTTTAGGCTACGGTCGTCAAGAACGATCACACGCGTCACTTTCTAGACGCTACACAATGAACAACTTACTTGCAAGTGACGATGCCACCCACAATGTGACACGTCTATCCTAGCGCCTGTCAGTCATCAAGACACACTAGCTAATGGCAGCAAGAGTACATAACCCCCCAGTACAGCGTTGGGTTATGTTACTAATACTGTACTCTTGCTGGCAACTGAAATCCGACCCCTTATTGGTGCGTTCACATTCTACCGGTCTCTGTTTCGTAGTTTACCATCCGGTGATGGGTGTTTGCGATGTGAGCGCACCGCTCAGGGGTCGGATTTCAGTTGCCAGCACTGTCCTCTTGATGGCGGGCATGGGGTATGTATATGCCGTACACACCATCAGAGTTCTAGGCTTCTAACGGAAAACCACCACAAGCAGCGGATCACTTCAATTTGTATACAAGCCAACCGTGAAACACATGGGTAGTCACTATAATGTAGACGTGGCGGCAAGCAAAATCTGGACCCGCTGTGTTCTTAATGAACGGAAAGCCACTCCGACTCAGCCATGAGGCTCTGGCTCTCTCTCTCTCTCGCGCTCTCTCTCTCTCTCTCTCTCTCTCTCTCTCTCTCTCTCTGTGTGTGTGTGTGTGTCTCTCTCTGTGTCTCTCTCTCTGTGTGTGTGTGTCTCTCTCTCGCTCTCTTTCTCGCGCTCTCTCTCTCTCTATGGCCCCCTTTGACATTGGCCTATATACTGTATCACGCACAGGTGATTACACCTAATCTGTCAGTGCAATACCAGAAGAGTCAGGTAGCTGGACCATAATAACCATCTGACCTGCTGGATCAAGAGGAACACAAATTTGAAAAAGTGAAAATTAATCTGAAAAGCCACCGGGTAGTCAGGAGAGAGTGTAAGGCACAGATCAAGGATAAAATATAATTGCATGATAAAAAAGGTACGTGAAAAAATCAGGGCAAAGCAGGCAGCAACATCGGCTGTCCATGTCCCGTCATACAATGGCAACGCAATGGCAACGTATAGATACATAGCGGGGAAGCTGGTAGCAGCCACTCATACTTCTGAGAATAAACAGTAATAATAGTTGTGATCAGGGAGTGGAAAAATACCGGTATTTTACGACTCCCTCGTTATACGGCACATGTCCGGTGAAGAGGGTGTACAGAGTCATGTACTCCCAAGTATGTACAAATATACACACACACACACACATGCATACACACACACACACACGTGCGCACACCCATGTGCACATGCACCATGTGCACACACACACACACACACACACGCACGCACGCACACACCTGCTATGGGCTCGACAGAGAAGAAACTCGCATGCCATAGCAACGACAGAACACCAAGTGGTAGAGAGAACAACGGCTCACGGTCATGTCAGGGACTCCACAAGACAACCATCACAGAGCTGCCACGCCATACATGCTGGCCTGTTCACGTCAGCACCAGGCTCGTCACCATGGTAAAGATGGCTGCCTGTTCACATCAGCGCCAGGCGCCGGGCTCTCCAGGCTTGTCACCATGGTAAAGATGGCTGCCTGTTCACGTCAGCACCAGGCTCTCCAGGCTTGTCACCATGGTGAAGATGGCCGACGTGCAGTCCTCCGCCGCCACGGGGTTGCCAGCGAGAGCGAGGCGCTTGAGTGACATCATATGCTTCAGCTTGTCATCCACAGTACGGATACCTGACGAGCAGCGTGGCAGCCAAGTCAAGGAAACTGCACTTAGTTCAAACATTCAAGTCCTGAAAATCAATCATATTTTCGTAAGCGAGTAATACCGTAAAGTCTTGTATAAAAGCCGCGGCTTCTATGACTTTCTTGGTGAAATTTTGCAGGCTTCTATATGAGACAGGCTTCTATACAAGACAGGTATTTCTATGTATGTCAACACTAAAACCAGGCTTATGTGTGATTTGATGGGCCCAAAATTGCGGCTTCTATTCGAGGGCGGCTTCTATTCAAGTGCGGCTTTTATACAAGACTTACCGGTATTGGTAAACTGAGAAAAAGAACACTTCGTAGTCATCTAACTTTCGTAAATGCCATCGACCATGGGCTACTACCGTAATGTCGCATATAAAAGCAGGTACTTATGGCCGTATAAGCCGCCGGTGTTCAAACCATGCTTCTATTCAAGCTATGCTTCTATTCAAAACATGCTTCTACGTCAACATCATCAGTCTGCACTGTGCAGTGCATACTGCCACGCATGTACTCGCCCATGTACTTTGCAGAGAGCGGCTTCTATTTAAACCATGCTTCTGTGTCACGGCGCGCTTCAATACGTCGGCTTCTATTCGAGTCATGCTTCTATACAGGTCATGCTTTTATACGCGGCACTACAGTCCATTTCAAAACTATAGACGCGTACCTAGGCAAAAACCGTTATGCCAGCATCTATACCACATAAAATCTGTGATCACTTTGTGCATACATTTTTCCAAATTGGGCGTCTGTTATCCAATCGTTTAGAAACTATATGAGAGTAATTGTGGAGCGATCCTGAGCAATATTCCGAAAACTATTCTCAAAAAGGTCCAGCCAAATTTGAAATATTTCAAAAACCCTACGCGTCTCTAGTTTTGAAATGGACTGTACAGTATGTACATGCACACAGCACTGTACAGTGAGTCAGTGAGTGTCACAAATTTTAGTAAGCGTTTTCATAAATTGGGCTGGTTCACGATGAAAAACTTTGGCGATTCTATCTCTTCAGTTGGATCTTGTACTGTCTACAAACTCTACAATCAATATACGGAAAGGTTTGCGGCGATTTATTTTCGCGAATGTGTGATGGTCGCGAAAATAGCGAAATTTAATCTCTAGCGAAAGTTTCTCACTTTACAGTAAGCGTTTTAATTTCATGAGTAGCGGGAGGCTTACGAAATTTACGAAATTAAAACTACGAAATATAATCGATTTGCAGTACACCGTGAGTGTGTTGGATTTGGCCACGAATCGATTTTCGAATCCATCCACAAGTCACCCAGTCACCCCTGGCTATCCCCATCAGTGTACATAGGCGGCAGCAGTACAGTGAAAATATTGTTTTTTTGACCTCGGCTTATACGGCCATAATTATATGTTCACGTTTCATATGATCTTGCATTCAAAAGCCTTATTTGTTAAAAAAATGGCAAATGTTAAAAAGACCCAAATCACCTCGTACTGGTGCATATTATATACTATAAAACAATCTTGATACCAGAAAAATAATAATATGTAGCGCAAAACACAGGGAGAAAATTGGATGCGGCCAAAATGGGCTTTAGCCCTGGGAGGCCGAAATTTGAATGGGCCGAAAATTTGCAGGCTTACAGTACTCCGTGGCGCTCAAAGAAATCCAATCTGGCGCGACTCAACCTTGCGCCCTGCACCAGTGCACGGTCTAGTGTTGGCTGGTCTGGTGTAGCATAATGCCGGGTACGTGCTGGACGCGTGCGTGATCCGCTCTCATTGAGCAACACACTAGATCCTTTCAAAGGTCATGTAATTGTGCACATCCATATTAAAATTGTAACATGGAAAAATGCGGGCACAAGTTATGCGATCGAGTCCACCAACTAAACCAGATTTTGAACAGTCAGACGTGCACAATCTAGCACAAAAATGACGAGGGGTACCGAGACACTCCACGGTATGCAAGTCAGCTTGAGCACTGCTTGATCACATAATTGTGCCCACATTTTTCCATGTTACAATTTTTTCCTTGGCTCACCATCTGAGTTCCATATTAAAATGATAGGACTTGGCCACCTATTCAAGGCACCTTGAGCCTAGTGCATGGTGCGTGGGTTTATGTTTTGGATAGCTGGGTGCTCCTCATTTTCTCATGACAAGCTCCACTGTACACGTGGCAACTGTGAAGATCAGCCAGCGGAGCTGAATCATTTTCTACAAGCGACCTGGCTGTCACATAGGCCATGGTGTAACAGTTCCAACACACACAGGGTGAGATGCAACCAGTGAAAATAAGCGCGTGCACACACACGCGCACACGTACCCACACAGACACGCGTACACATACACACGTACACACCCGCATACACCCCCACATACCTCCCCCCCCCCACACACGTACACACACACACACATGTCCAGTGCACACACACACACACACACACACACACACACACACACACACACACACACACACACCACGCACGGACACAAGCACATAACTTTTAAAATGTTTGCAGGATACGGTTGTTCCTCAGCGACAGGCTTGTGAGCGCCTTGAGTGCAACGACCTCGTAGCCGATCTCTTCTATCTGATTATCATCAGCAAGGAGCTCCTCCAGGAAAGGCAGAACTTGACAGCCATCCAGTGATGTGAGGTTGTTGTTGGAGACATTGAGACGCAATAGCCACGGCCAGCTGTCCAAACTGAAGAGACCGCCAAGACCCTGTACAAACAAACAAACAAATACAGACACACACACGTACACATGTGCATGCACACACACATGCACACACACACACACACACACACACACACACACACACACACACGCGCGCGTGGACATAAGTGAAGGTACAACGACAACAGGGCCCATGTCTGCCATTCATCCTACGGTTTCCATTATGTTATTTCGAACTGCTTGAAGTACCATCAACTCCTACACAAACACACACACACACACACACACACACACACACACGCACGCACGCACACAGCACAACTCTCTCCCACACAGTCCAGAGACACAGTCTTAACGGGAGCGGGTCCGGGGCCATGGAACCCCCTAAATTGCGAAAATGTTCTACTGGAAACCATATGCATGCATGTACATGTACTCAGTTACTTACTACCCCCCCCCCCCCCCCCCCCGTGGAGAGATCTCTGGACCCCCTCCCCCTGTGGAGAGATCTCTGGACCCCCTCCCCCTGTGGAGAGATCTCTGGACCCCCTCCCCCTGTGGAGAGATCTCTGGACCCCCTCCCCCTGTGGAGAGATCTCTGGACCCCCCCCTCCCCCTGTGGGAAGATCTCTGGACCCCCCCCCCTCCCCCTGTGGAGAGATCTCTGGACCCCCCCCCCTCCCCCTGTGGAGAGATCTCTGGACCCCCTCCCCCCGTGGAGAGATCTCTGGACCCCCTCCCCCTGTGGAGAGATCTCTGGACCCCCTCCCCCTGTGGAGAGATCTCTGGACCCCCTCCCCCTGTGGAGAGATCTCTGGACCCCCCCCCCCCCCCTCCCCCTGTGGAGAGATCTCTGCCCCCCCCCCCCCCCTCCCCTGTGGAGAGATCTCTGGACCCCCCCCCCCCCCCTCCACTCAGTAGAGATCTCTGGACCCCGAGTACCGAGTAGAGATCTCTGAACCCGTCCCTGGTCTGGAGACAGTCTAGAGACGCGGTCTAGAGACGCGGTCTAGAGACGCGGTCTAATGTAGAGACGCGGTCTAGAGACGCGGAATAGAGACGCGGAATAGAGAAGACACAACAACTGAAAGAGCTGGCACACACGCTCAGCATCTACAGTACAGAACAGCTAGACAGCTCCACCAATTGGCACCTGCCGTGGCGGTACGTTGCACATGGGGCGGGGGTGAACAGGCCTTGTCTGTAGGTTGTACGGCACGTCCTTTGCACAGACATTGAACGTTGGGTTTGTTTGTTTATATTTATTTTACTTCACCTAAATGTAGCAACATGTTATGCCCTCTCCTCGGCCACGATGGCCGGTTCTCACAGTACGATGAAGTGCAGTGAATCCACACGAAATTCACCTTCGACCGGCAGTAAGCTGCACACATGAAGAGTATGCCGGTGCAGGGCCATGCGAGGCTTTACCGTACTCGCGTTCTTAACCTGTGTTCCCAACTGGCGTGTGGACGCGGTACGCTTGCGGTTCATGCATGACCAAACCCGCGCGCCGGCTTTCACAAAAAAAACAGCAATTCGACTCGTATTTAGGGCATGCGATGCCTTACAGTCCATTTCAAAACTATAGACGCGTACCTAGGCAAAAACCGTTATGCCAGCATCTATACCACATAAAATCTGTGATCACTTTGTGCATAAATTTTTCCAAATTGGGCGTCTGTTATCCAATCCTTTAGAAACTATATGAGAGTAATTGTGGAGCGATCCTGAGCAATATTCCGAAAACTATTCTCAAAAAGTTCCAGCCAAATTTGAAATATTTCAAAAACCCTACGCGTCTATAGTTTTGAAATGCACTGTAGAGTACCAATTTTTTGACCCCGCCAGTACGCTGGTACGCGCCTGATACGCGCTGAAATTTCCAACATGTTGGAATATCCATTTCGGCGCGTTTCCGTACGCATGGCGTCCAAAAAGCCAGCAAAATACGCACAAACGCATGGTTTCACGTGTACACGCGCCAGTTATGAACACAGCTTTACTCTGCGTGTGACCTCAGTCGTACTCAGCCAGGTGACTTCCTTCGCCCAGATACAAACCAAGGCGGAGGAGCACTTTTGCAGTTTTTGTTATTCTACCCGTACAAAGAAAAATGAAGAAAAAAAACAGTTTGAAGGCCGTACCCTGCTTGTTAGATCGAGGGAGCAACTTCCTTGCCACAGCTGAAGTCAATCAGAAAACACACACGCACGCGCACGCACGCACACACACATGCACACGCACGCACACGTACGCGCACACTTGCACACATACGTACCCACACGCAGACGCGCACAAGCACACACAACAACAACACCAACAACAACGAAAACAGTCATCAAGAGGCCATAGCCCGCACACTAACAGAAGAGGGAAAGATGATCAATACAGCACTGTACTGTGCACAACAGACATGGGGGTGCTATCTGCAGGACAGTGAGGTGGGGCTGCGGTGAGGACATCGACTGGTAGAGTGCTATCTGCAGGACAGTGAGGTGGCCTTCAAACTGTTCTTTTTCCATTTTTTCAAGATCGTGTACATGCATAGTCAGCAGTTTAACACTTTAAATTAACCATGAAATTATCCATCACACTCAGTGACTGGTACTAGTACAGTCGTCGGCCTACCCTTATAACGATACTTGTGTGTCAGATCAAGAGATATTCTTACAGTGCTCCCTCTATAATCCGGCACCGTTTGTGCTACGGAAATTCTGCTGGATTAGGGAGGGTGCTGGATTAGAAAATCTGATTTACTGCTGCAATGCGCATGAAAAGGACATTTTGGTATCTGAAAATTATGCTGGTTTATAGAGGGTGCTGGATTACAAAGTGCTGGATTAAAGAGGGACGACTGTATCAGGGTAATATTTTTTTATAAGGGTACTGGTTCATTTCATGCACACACGTCATAATGCATGGATTTTGTTCATTTATTAAACTCTTCATAGCGTCAGAAACGTACGCAAGTGCACATTATGTACACAGCAAGGTGCCCCCATCGCTTTCCACAACGTCCCAGCAATTTATCAAGTGAAATTTGCCCTGCCTGGATAGAGGACTCTACATATTCCCTGCTAGATACTGTTATGACATGGAAACTGTCGATTGGTCAGCCCATTTTATAATTATCGTTATAGGAGTAATATGGTTACAGCAATATTGTTATAGAGGTAAGGCATTGTATACAAAAGTCAATGGAGTGATTTGGTTTGACAGAAAAATATCGTTATAAGGGTACTTCCTCCGTTAACAAAAAACTTCGTGATGGATATGAAAACGCTTAGAACAGGTCAAGAACAGTTTGTATCGACTGCAATTCTATGGACTAAGGTAGTTCAGCCTATGTACAGCGTCTTTACAAGAGAAACTGTTGGCGGAATGACCAGAGAGTTCAGTTTGCGTCGCTTTCGCTCGACTCATTTTTGACCCTGAGTCGCTGTCGTCATCTGCTGCACGCGAGTCGTCATCTCTCTCGAGTCATTGTTCAGCTAGTTTTCACCTTGCCTCGGCTTCTTTGATCACACTCCGCTGAACTTGATGTCGCCGTCGTTCACTTAAGTTGGCTTTCAAGCTGCGTGATCCGCCGCGGTGGCAATTACTCGTTTCCACCAGGGAGTCGTAAAAATATTTTACGGCTCCCTGGTTTCATCTTCGCTATCCAGAACTCCGCAAAACGAGGAGTAAAGGCACAGCCAAACTGATTCCATTTTCTCTGATGGATACCCCTGCCAGCAGTGCACGGCAGCAGCTAGCAAGTCCAGTCGACTTTCTTCAGCCACGAGACTCGTGTCGGACTGCAGACTTCTGAAAGAATGCATGGTCATCAGCATTCGAATCTGGGCTTTGCGCAGGTTGAACAACAACTTGAGTTCAGAATTATTTCATTGCGCCGTGCGATCGGAGCAGCTCCTTGTTCACTCGCTCATTGTGTGGGCTCGCTGCTCAGTTCCATCGCTCTCTATCACTCTCAAACTCAGTGCTAGAGTAGTAGAGAGGCCAAGCAGCGCATTATGCTCTCGGAGAAGTGGTATTTCAGGTTCGCTCGCCATGACTGTCATCACCTATGTTTCCACAGCGCAACCATCGATTCCGCTCGCCATGTTGTGAAAGGTCGCTTTCCTTGCATCGTACCTCTTTCATGCCACAACAGGGAAGACCGAGAAAGTGATTGGGACTCATTTCACGGCAGTGTGTGCGCAAACCAGTCCCTCTAAAATCCATAACGAAGTTTTTGTCAAGGCGAGACCAAAAATAAAATCGAGATTCCCGGGCAGGACCCATGTGAAATTGGTGCGGGCGGGTGAATTTTTATTTTTACTTTTTTTATTTGTATGTATGCATGGCATACTGAACTCTCTTTTTACAGCATTTTCCGGTAATTTTTTACTGACAACAGGTACGCATATATATGCGGTTTGCCCGTACAAAGTTGTAAAAAAAACCCTGAAATGTGTGTGTCTGACATGAATTTGGCATGGCAACAAGCCTCTGAAATGAGGTTGAAAAAATAATGGAACAGTCTCCAATTAAAGGAACGTCTCCAATAATAGCACGGGGCGGAGGTACATTGAAAAAATAAAGGACCGTGCTTATATTAGAAATTATATTAAGGGTAATATTATTATAGGGGTTATCGTTATAAGCAGGGTTCTAGCCAAAGAGGGGGTAGGGGGGGGGGGCAGCGCCCCCCCCCTACTCTGTTTGCGCGCCCCCTGTGAAAAATTGCCGCCCCCTACTCATTTTCCGATTTTCGTGTTTTTCATACATAGATGGTTCATAAACGCACATTTGTCTGGGGTGAAGTCAGGGATTCGCCCCATATACGTTGCATTTGGCGTGGCAAGACAATATTGGACAGTGGAAAAATGGGATATAGGGTAACTGTTTCCCATGCCCACCCCCCTACTATTTTGACCTGGCTAGAACCCTGATAAGGGTAGGCCGACTGTACCTGCTCGGGGTTATGCTCCAGCCATGATTGCTGGGCTACTGACTGCATGAAATACCTACTCCCTGCAAGAGGAAAGTCAGTCGAGAAACAAAAAGTGCACACACACACATGCACACACACACACACACACACACACACGCACGCACGCACGCACACACACACACACACACACACACACACACACACACACACACACACACATACACACACACAACACAAGCACAAGCACAAGTAAACAAACAGAACAGAATTCAACCCAGGTGCGGATTATCCTGCATTGGCCGGACCTAGAGTACATATCGTAAGGGGCCATCCGGCGATATCGATAATTTTCACACCCACCCACACACATACCCTCCACACTCACACCCACGCACACAGAACACCCGCAACACCACTATACACGACGAGAACACTCACTCAAATCATGGTAGTAGCCACTACGCATCGGGTCGATACGCAGCAGGCTGTCAAAGTAGCTCTGGACCTGATCACGATGTGCCACCGGGTTCAACACTTGCAACAGAAGAACGGCAGTCAGGAACGCCCCTGTTACAAACACACACACGCACGCACACACACGCACGCACACACACACAGCAAAGAAAGCAGCAAAATGCCACACAGAGTGCAGAAAACCGCTCAGTACCGCACAGCAGCAAGACCAATGGAGCTTATACTTTAGAGCTGGAGGATTCTACATCAGCAGTGGCACGGTATAGAGTGGTTTCACATCTTGGTCATGTGACTAAAATTTGTGCAGAAAGTGATCATGTCATGTGGACAGTGGAACCAACATGGTCGACATCATGTGACCATGGATGCAGAGGTTGAGTGGAGTTGGAACCAACATGGCCGACATCATGTGACCAAGAGTACATAACCCCCCAGAGTGTGCAACTCCCACATACCCTGTTGTCCCGACAGAATTTCAAGTTGACGTCATTATTTATGACGCAATGCTCCTTGCAGCAGTGATTTACAACATGTGTACGGGTGTCAACGCATCACACGTTTTTCTTTGCAATAATTTGTACAGGATCGATCGGCTTCGGTCAACCACAGGTTCTGGATTCGTCTGATAATCCGTGTACAGTGCGCATTGCATCATCAAAATGACGTCAACTTGAAATTCTGTCGGGACAGCACCCATAGTGGAGTTGCACACTCTGGGGGGTTATGTACTCTTGATGTGACCCATAGATGCAGGGGTTGAGTGGAGTTGGAACCAACATGGCCGACATCACGTGACCCATAGATGCAGGCGTTGAGTGGAGTTGGAACCAACATGACCGACATCATGTGACCCATAGATGCAGGCGTTGAGTGGAGTTGGAACCAACATGACCGACATCATGTGACCCATAGATGCAGGGGTTGAGCAGGGTTGGAACCAACATGGCTGTCCCTGTATGGTCATGTGATAGATGTGAGAGCACTCTAGACTATAGGCAGGACCATCAATGGACCAACAAATCTCAGAAGAAGAGCACTGTTGTTCAGTGTGGTGTGCTAGTTCAAGTGCTCTGAGACAGTGTGGGCTTGAAGAGTATTCACCACCAGGCTTCCTGCCGCCATCATTTGGTAGGGCATGCAAGCCACCGTCCGGTCGGTCAACAGTACCTCACGAGTCAAGGAACTGCTGTGAGGCGGCGTGAGGCAGAGGAAGGATGCCAACGGAAGCCTTGTGCTTCAGTGGCGCCCAACGTGGGGCTCAAACCCACGACCCTGAGATTAAGAGTCTCATGCTCTACCGACTGAGCTAGCCGGGCAAACAGCGGCCCAGAACTCAAGTCCTGGAGGATGCGAGCGAGTTTTCAACACGGCCGCCGTATTCACGCGATATGAATCGTTGTACGAGGCATGTCCATTGGCGCCCAACGGACATGGACATCGTGCCACTTCCAGGGCGTCAAGGGCCGTGCAAGTCGAGGGCGCCAAATATGCACTCTGGGTCGGATATCACCGAGCGCAACTGTACTACTAGGATCAGGGCATCCGATGCTATTTCCAGTCAAGCAAGCCTGGATAAGAAGACCGCCTGCACACGGGGATCACATTTATTCCTTTCAAAAAGACATACGGATAAACGGCCACACAGACAGACAGAAATACACACACACACACACACACACACACACACACACACACACACACACACACACACACACACACACACACACACACACACACACCAGTACAACATCAATGCACATACATTTACTATCCGCTTCGTCGTTGATCTCCAATAGCTCCACAAGACTGTCTAACTCTTGTTGCAGAATATCCGGTGAGGCTGCCAGCGAGCTGTGCGTGTGCCGGAAAACAATGTACACACACACACACACACACAACACAAGTAAACAAACAGAATAGAATTCAACCCGGGTGCGGATTATCCTGCATTGGCCAGACCTAGAGTACACACCGCAATGTCGCATATCGAAGTCGGGCGTATAATTCCTGAAGAAGCCGATGTCAGGGCTAGGCTTCTATTCACATCAGGTTTCTATTCAAACCAAGTATTTCTATGTGTATCAACACTACAGCCAGGCTTATGCGCTGACAGTGTATCTAGAAATTCAGGCTTCTATTCAAAACAGGCTTCTATATGAGATAGGCTTAGGCTTTAGGCGTTAGTACAAGACACTACGATAACCTCCAACAGTGTGCAACTCCCACTACTGTACCAATACTCCCGACAGAATTTCGACTTTTGATCAGACCAGACTACTGTAGCGCAGTAGGAATAGGCCTTGAAAAGAATGTGCAGTCAGCCTCGCAAATAACGGCGCGCTCAGACTACCGATAAAAAGTGACCGATTGGGAAAGCTTCCAGGTGATTTGATCACGTGACGTTACTGGCACGTTACCGGTGGAAAAGTTTTACTGCCGCAGCTGCTGCGGCAGTAAAACTTTTCCGGCATTAAAAAAAGTGCTCAGGCTGCATGCGTGCTGGGAAAAAAAGGGGAAATCCCTTCTCAGTGCCGCTGTGAGAGCTGCAAAACTTACGTTACGGTGACGTTACTTTATCGGTAGTGTGAGTGTCCTTCACAGTTTATCGCCATTCACGGTTTGACGGGATTCATGGTAGTCTGAACGCGCCCTAACGACTCTCGATCGGACACAAGAGGATATAAATGTTGTTGTTTGCGAGTTGTGGTTATTCGCGAGGCTGGAGAGTATGCAGCTACATGGCACCGTGCCTGACGATTGTGCAGTTATACGCAAGTTGTAGCCACACTCAATCTGCGGACAGAACTGCTTCGTCTTTGGACTCATCAGCGCAGCACAGAGATAAGAAGGCCGAACCTGGTAGCAATTGTTAGGTAACTCTTGGGTTTAATTCATACTCAACACAATGATAAACAAAATTTCCAAAGCCAGATTTGAACCAAGTTGTAGCCCCGTGTACACCCATGGTCATTATTCTTGACTCTTGAGGCTTGCCTGTGATCCCTGGTACTGCCAGGCTTTCCCGAAACAGAATTGATGAAGGAAGACACTCAGCTCCCGACTACTTACAAGAACATATTGTAGGACGACGGCATGCTGTATTGACACGCTGACTGCATATCTATACCGACGTACAGATGTATACACGTGCAAGCACATACACACGCACACACACACACACACGCACACACACACACGCACGCACACGCACACACACACAGAAAGAATCAATAAAGGCTGCCAATAGTGCAATCACTAGCTACAAACGCGCAAGGATGACATGCATGAAACCGAAAGGTACCGTATACTCCCGAGTATACGCCAAACTTGTTAACACTCGTGTTCCACACAAGAAAAATCGGCGCGGCCTAAACTACGATGGTGAAATGAACCAGGAAACTCCGATAGGTATCTGTATTTCGTGACATCCGGGTGCGGGTTAGTAGTATGTGTCGAGCCGTTCTGTGGCGGGTACATGCCCTGCCCGAAAAAACGGGGTACTATTGATAGTATGTACTTGGGAAAATACGGTACTGTAAAATTCCACCAGAGCGCTCCTACCTCCGTCATTCTTCGAGTACGTCCAGGTGGGGAGGGGCGGAATACTACTTGCTGCATTCGGTATACTACATGAAAGAGTACTCACCCTACAAAAAAACTGTGCGTGTGTCTTGTACACAAGATGATGCAGTGGAATATTTGAATAGACAACACGCGACAACATTCCGTGTCAACAACTCTCGGTGTGAAGCATTGTACTGCGACACACACGCACTGCGGGAGAAGTCAGATCGCGCAGTGATGTCGGAGAAGAGGCTTGCCAGCCAGCCAGCTGTATTGGCCAACACATGCCAACAGACACACATGGGAAATCTGGCGAAAGTCTACAGCGTGAGCTAGTCGTCGACTGGTCAAGGGATTCTTGAAAGTTGACATTCTGCCTGTTAACCTTGGGAAAAGCCAGTCACTTTCCCCGAAGAAAACAAGCATAAGCGGGTTGTGAACGGCTTCAAAGAGATTCGCAAGTTACCAATGTGTGCTAGAGCTGTTGACGGGAACTTTATGAAGATCGTGAAACCATGGGAGTGGGGAGACTCGTACTGGTGCTACAAACCCTACCCAGCTGGTCTTCTCCTTGGGACGGTGGATGCAGACGGAAGTTTTCACCTACGTGGATGTAGGCTGAGCAGGTTCATTTGGCGACGCATACACGTTCAACATAAGCCAGGGAAGAAGAAATTCAAACATGAATCAGCTGAAGAAGAAATTCAAACATGAATCAGCTGAAGAAGAAATTCAAACATGAGTCAGCTGAAGAAGAAATTCGAACAACAGCCAGAGAGAGAAGAAGCTGGGGAACCGATCATGGTTGCAATCCTAAACGAAGCTCATTTCGGGCCACCAAATCAAGCCGTACTTGCTTGCCGACTCGGCGTTCGGGGCTTCACAGCACATCGTGAAGGCGTATAAACATCCACCCCAGCCTGGACACCGCAGACGCCATTCAACACTGCTGTCAACAAGGCTTGCACGGTGGTTGAGCAGGCGTTCGGACGACTTAAGGGTCGTTTTGCTATCTTGACAAGAAGCCAGTGCAAGGGAATCCTTGAAACGTAATAAGCAAACAGCAGATGTTACTTTGGTCTTTCGTCAGGGATCCGGACTAGGCTGCGCGGGCAGCTTGGCTTAGCCGTGCTTAGCTGTGCTTTGCACACCTTGCACACTTGTGTCAATGTTGAGATCTAAGCTGCATCATGCCACACTTGAAGGAAGTGAGTTTTTGTTTGTTCTTCAGAGAAACACAGCCAGCAGAGGCGTTTTAGAAAGAGAGACTAGATATTTAAACAGCCACCGTGGAGACAGTAATCTTAATATAGCGGTGTAAAATAGAAGAAGAAGAAAACACATGGGAACGAGCTATGAAGTAACTATCCATGACTGTAACAAAATAATAAGCAGTCAGAACATGCGATAAACAGGGCACAAAACTGACAGGCTACTGAGAAATTCAACGACCTAAGACCTAGCTCTAACACATCTCTAGTGTGCAAACCAACACCCCTTCCAGCCTTCCCACGTGTTCAGGGCAAGTGACCAAAACTTTGCACTGCAGTGCAACGGCAGACAGCCATAGTATCAATCTACAGAGTTGCTCACTGAAATCCGACCAGGCTGGTCAATGCCGCACCCGGCAGCTGTGCAGCTCTAGACAGGCAAACATTGGGATGTGAACGGGTACATATATAGCGCGCAAACTTGACTCACACGATATCAGATTTCATTCAGCAACACAGTACTATGCTTTGAAGTAAAAAAGAATTTAAAAAAAAATGTGCCCACATGCTAGAACTGCACGGGCCGTTTGGTGATGGAAACTTGGCGATACATTTTTACAACAGATATTTGACACCTTTTACAGCTGGGAAACCTATGAAGGTACCAAAATCATGCATGAAAACTTTGGTAAAATTTAGGGGTGAAACGGTTCGGGTAAGGAACCGGTTTTGGAACCGCCAGCTGAAAATAATCGGGTACCCGTTCCGTCAAATTTCGAACCGAAACTCGAAAAATCTCGTTCTCGTACAAATACATGTACACGTCAAGTCTACTCAAGCCTTGTCAAGGTTTAAATGTCTTATATTTTATTACCTTACAATCACCGCTCTTCCAAAGGGTTCTCTTGGTCATCTTCTTCGCACGTACATGGACTCTCCGATGTCTCGTTCTTGCTCGTAAAAATGTTTTCTAAAAAATAATTGTCACGAACGCATTTTGTCGGTCTGGAGAAAAGAGTGCATGGAACCGATACCCGAACCGTGGAAAGCTATGCTGGCGTTCGGGTACCCGAACACGAAAAACATGGAACCGTTTCACCCCTCTGTCGCAATATTTAGTTCTGACGTTTCACCCCTAGTAAAATTAAAACTTAGGTAAAATTACAAGAATTGTAACATGGGAAATTGTGGGCACAAGTTATGCCATCGAGTCCACCAACTAAACCAGATTTTGAACAGTCAGACGTGCACAATCTAGCACAAAACTGACAGGGAGTACTAAGACATTCCACGGCATGAAAGTCAGCTTGAGGAACGCTCGATAGCGCTAACCAACGGCCTTCCAACTTGGAAGGTTCATGGATGTTAGCGCTAATTCCAAAATCTGAAAATCTGGTTTAGTTGGTGGACTCGATCGCATAACTTGTGCCCACAATTTCCCATGTTACAATTTTTTTCCTTGGCTCACCATCTGAGTTCTTAAAATGTGCGATTCAATTGTATCCTTCGTCTTCCACATTTATTCCACTGGTATTTGTGTCATAAGTTGCAGAAGAGAGAGAGGGAGAGGGAGAGGGAGAGGGAGAGAGAGAGAGAGAGAGAGAGAGAGAGAGAGAGAGAGAGAGAGGGAGAGAGGGGGGGGAGAGGGAGAGGGAGAGAGAGAGAGGGAGAGAGAGGCCATACTTGGACCACGACAACGACACAACAACTCATTGCGTTCTGTACTAGTTCAACGGGCTGTTAAACCCCACTGATGTTGAATGGTTCCATCGCCCAGCGTGGCAGTGGCAGCAGATAGCCAGCTGTGGTCTGCAGCACTATAATCATAGTACATGTACACTTTAAAAGAGTTTGAACGCGGCACGCAGGGCAACGTACCTGTCTCTAAGTGCACCATGGCAACCGAGGATTCGTTCTTGAAGGACACCTGCACGGTTAGCATGTGTGCATTGCGTTCCGACAACTGTCCTTCCGTCAACTGGCAGACCTGCACGCCAAGTGTGTGTGTGAGAGAGAGAGAGAGAGAGAGAGAGAGAGAGAGAGAGAGAGAGAGAGAGAGAGAGAGAGAGAGAGAGAGAGAGACAGAGAGAGAGAGAGACAGAGAGAGACAGAGAGAGGGAGAGAGAGAGGGAGGGAGGGAGGGAGGGAGGAAGGGAGGGAGGGAGGAAGGGAGAGAGGGAGGAAGGGAGAGAGAGAGAGAGAGAGAGAGAGAGAGAGAGAGTAAGTTACATTTATAAAGACAGGTAAGTCTAACAAATGAGGACTGAGACCTCTACAACAGGGTTTTTACGCCTGAAAGCAGGTGCATGATTTAACAAGCAGGTTGTCAGTCTAGATTTTATGCGCAGATGGAGAAAAAGCGCAGAATTTTTGTAATGAGATGAAAAGCAGAAATAATAAGAAATAATAAGAAAAGATGAAATGAAAGCCTGCTCACAACCCCGCCCAGCCTTGCGAACTGGGTATGGTGGATTAAGAACCCGGTTCAACGCTCGAGAGAGAGAGGGAGAGAGAGAGAGAGAGGGAGAGAGAGAGAGAGAGGAGAGAGAGAGAGAGAGAGAGAGAGAGAGAGAGAGAGAGAGAGAGAGAGAGAGAGACGCACACACACACACACACACACACACACACACACACACACACACACACACACACACACAATGAATGAACACAAACACGGACACAGACAGACAAGCACACAGACACCATGTGCAACAAACAAACACACACACACACACGGACGGGAAGCTAGTTTCGATTTGTCTGGCTTAACCCAAAGGGCGTAGCAGAGGAGGGTCCGAGAGCCCCTTTTGAATAAAAGCACAGATTACTATTCGCGAAGCACGGGGTGACCAGGTAGTGCTACGCATACTAAGGTCAAGTGCGTATAAACATCTCGTGCATGTACACGTACATGTATGTAAATACCGGTGGTGCATGTCTAGGTCGACGTAGTGTGTGCAAACTACCGTATTTTACCGGTTGTAAGTCGACCCCGGTTATAGTTCGACCCCCGTATCCGGAGGTCTCAATTCTGTGTTTTAAAGTTTTCACCCAAAGAAGCACTACTAACCACTTCCTGCTACTAACATATCAACAAATCATGTAAACATTCCTTATTAGAGGGTATAAGGTCCTAATCCTTGAAAAAGGCCAATAAACTGGCAAAAATGAGTACACATGGTGCAGCCTTGCATGCAGGGCAGGTCATTTTTTGTAAGATACTGATAGTTCCCGGTTATAAGTCGAATCCCGGTTGTAAGTCGACCCCCGCCCTTTCTCCTTCTCCTTTTAGTCGTAAAGGTTGACTTACAACCGGAAAAATACGGTACTCGTAACTCGAGGCCGAGATCCTTTGAGTTATGACAATTTTAGGGGTTCGATTTGAACAACGGTGTGGATTGAAATATTAAAAGCCCCTCTCGAATAGAAACCCCTGATGAATAGAAGCCCCTCTTGAATAGAAACCTCCTCAAAATTTGGAATGAAAAAAAAAACAGAACCCGCCCGGCTTCTAATCAAGTGAGTACGTGGGTACCGTAATGTCGCGTTATTAAAGCCATGCTTATTCCTGTAGAAGCCGATGTCAGTGCTAGGTTTCTATTCAAACCAGGTATTTCCATGTGTGTCAACACTAAAACCAGGTATTTCCATGTGTGTCAACACTAAAACCAGGTATTTCCATGTGTGTCAACACTAAAACCAGGTATTTCCATGTGTGTCAACACTAAAACCAGGTATTTCCATGTGTGTCAACACTAAAACCAGGTATTTCCATGTGTGTCAACACTAAAACCAGGTATTTCCATGTGTGTCAACACTAAAACCAGGTATTTCCATGTGTCAACACTAAAACCAGGTATTTCCATGTGTGTCAACACTAAAACCAGGTATTTCCATGTGTGTCAACACTAAAACCAGGTATTTCCATGTGTGTCAACACTAAAACCAGGTATTTCCATGTGTGTCAACACTAAAACCAGGCTTAGGCCAAGTAAAAAAAAATCCTAGTTTATCGTCCCCGCCCGCCCCATTTTTCGAGGCCGCCCGGAATTTATTTTTATTTTTAAATCTAGAATTTTGCCAAAAAGCTTGATTTTTTACGTCGGCTGAGGCTTGAAAACACAGCTTCGTCTTTCTGCCGAAAGTCCGTCTTCATCCTGTCGAGACCTCGACAGTTTTCCGTTCTTTCCGTAGTTGCGACTTTGTTGAGAAGCGACATGCCGTTTGTTTTGCTGCAAATCCGTCGCGGGTTGAAAGTTCTGAAGTCCTGGTATGGCTGTGTTGTCTCTGCGTCTTCAACTCTCTCGGACATTTTCACCCAGTTCAGCGCTGGCGAGTTGGACCATGGGGAGCGCCTTGAGGAGAGCGACGTTGTCTCTTGTGTCCAAGCTAGTGTTGGCGACACAAAGCAAGGTTCCAAAACCCCTGTGAGTCCAGATTCGCCAGTAGGCGAGACTGTCAGCGCTCTTGGGCAATACGTGGAATTCATTATCGCTTGCCCTGAACAGGCAGCGACAGCGACAACACAGGAGAGAACTCCGTCTGGTGACGCTTTCGCTATGTTGATGGCTGCGTCGAAGACGCAGTGTGCTCTTCCGCCGAAATGGAACCCTGTCGACAAGAAAGCTGTGCTGAAAAATGATCTTCTGCTGTTCTTGGAGGAGAACAAGTTGGGCTGGGAAGAGGCGCTTGCTGGATCAGCTGGTGTGAACTTCGTAGGAACAATCAGTGATGCATTGTGGTATATCGATGGCAATCACCACACCTTGTCAAGTCGAGGTTGTGCAGTGCCTGCATTGTTGGAGAAGTTTGTTGGGTACAACACGCCGGAAGATCGCAAAAGGAGAAAGCGGGACCAGTCGAACCTGTGCCGCCAGAATTTGGATGCGTTGTCGTCATCCCTGTTCTTCTTGGCTGGCTGCTCCTACATGAAGCACCAGCACTGGAAAAGTGTCCGGGAAGCTGTGTTGAGACTTGCTGACAACTTCCGCAAGTATGCTGCGTACCTGAAAGCGCATCTGGATACAGTCTACACCAGTGAAGCCAAGCGTACCTGCGTGAGAACTGACGTGGATGAGCTGAAGGTGATTGGGGCGACTCTAGTCGTGAAGCCAACTCTGGGTGCGAGATATAGAAGTCTGCACGCCGCTATATCTGCTGCTGAGGATTATGAACACATCCTGATTGAGGACCATTGTCCTACTGAACATCGCCGGAGACACGAGTACCTGGAGGGGATAGTTGTGCCCGTCAAGTGCGTTCTGTATTCGTACACTGGCAGCAAGGCGCATGTGCATTTCATCTGGCGTATTCCAGAGTGTGCTGAGGAATCTGAGCTCCTGCAAAAGAATTCCGCCATCCAGCAACAGCTCAAATCCTGCATGCCAACATTCCACACTCGCATTATGCGAAGGGAATTCATCCATCTGTTTGGCTCTGTGACGAACACCAAGCCTGCATTTCTGCGGGAGGTGTACAGAAGGCTCACGGGAGATGCGAGTGCCAGTACAAACGCAGACCAAGCAGCAGTGGACAAACGAATTGCAGAAATGTTCGAAACAGAGGATGCAGACCTCATCTGGGATTTGCGCACTGTGAACAGCGGTAGGCCCGAGTCATATACTGCTTTTCTTGAGCAATGCCAGCAATACATTGAGAGCTCCGTGGAGACTGCAGTTGATGACCGACGGCATGACAGTGTGGAAGAAGACAACACTGTCATTACTCACCTTGCCAAGGCCTTGAGCGTCAGGGATATGCACGAGGAGGTCACTAAGCGTTGCCCTCCAGACACACCCATCCCGTCAGTGCAATGGCTCCGGTATCAGTTCTGGCCGAGAAATCCTGCATTGGCTACAGCTCGCCACTACACGGGCAAACTCAAAGTAAAATTCATGGTTCAATCACGTCAGTTCCGGACAGCTCACATTGACTGCCACTACGCCAGCGCTCTGTTTCGCTATGAACGGGAATTTGCTGTGCAGTTTCGTGATCATGTGTGCTTTGTATGCCAAGATGACAAGCACACAATCAAAGTTGGAGAGCCTGGGCATCCTGTGGCAGCAGTAGATCGAGGCAAGCCGGTTCTGGTTGGGCTGAATGAAAAACTGGTAGTTTCGGACCACGATTTCACGAAGTTCAATCTCACACCAAGCGTGAATCTCATTGTGGATGTGCCAGAATCCATTGATGACTCCTTCTATCGCGGAACAGTCCACGTGGGCTTGAAGGACTGTGTATTTCAACATTCCTCTCCATCGCGCCATGGTTGCGAGCTCCTGAGTATCCTGCAGAAAGGCGATGTAAAACCTATCCTCTGCATGTACACCGATGGCGGGCCCGACCATCGTCCAACCTACCTCTCCACGCAGTTGTCCCTCCTGTCGCTGTTCATCAAGCTCGACCTAGATTATGTCTGTGCTGTTCGAACACCCCCGTACAACTCTTGGAAGAATCCGGTGGAGCACATCATGTTGATCTTGAACATCGCTTTGCAGGGTGTCGGTGTAGTTCGGAATGAGACCACTTTCGAGAATCAACTGAAAGGCTGCAACAACATGAAGGACATCAGGAATGCTGCCGTGAAGACCCCTGGCCTGAAAGATGCAGTGCTGGATGCAATGGAAGATATGAAGATCTTGATTTGCTCGCTGTTCCAACGCCTTCGCCTGACGGGTGTACCATTCCAGTGCTTTCATGCTGCCACGGACGAGGAGGTTGAGGCTTTTCGTGACACCGTCAAACTCATCGACCCGTCACTGGATACCAAGAGTACCACCAAGCAGTCCATTTCAAAGAACAAGGTACTTCTGACATTCCTGGAAGAGCACTGCATTGCCCGGCATTACTCCTTCACCATCCTGAAGTGTGGCAAACCAGCATGCTCAGTGTGCAAGCCTCCGCGACTGCCAGAGGATGTCTTCTCGAAGCTGCATCACCTCCCAGACCCTGTACCTGATGGCGAGCGGTACAAGAGCTTTGATGCTGTATATGGCGAACCAACATCGGAGAAGCACAGGCCATCTCTGGTTGCAGCAAGCCAGTCAGCCTCTGGTGGTCATGGCATGCCATTCCCGCCCAGCGCCCAGTATGCCAAGAATGTCAAGGAGGTCATCAGGTGCTCCGAGTGTGGCAAGCCTCGTGTTCTGTATGCCAAGCAGAGCGTCAAGTCAGCAGCACGTGTGGAACTGGTCGCGGCCTTGGAGACCCTGAGCTTCTCCTGTGGCAGTCATCTCACGGATGTAGCTTGCGAAGTCACCAGTGCCCTGGCTTCCGTGCACGTCAAGGGAAATCTCACATGTGACAGTCCTATTGAGATCCCGTACTACTCTGCTGGGTATCCCACTGTATGCTGCTACTGTGCTTCAGGAGAGGGTCTAGTCAATAATGCCGATGCGTATCCTGTGTGTGGTGCTTGCCAGGAGTCTGGGAAGAGCGCCATGAAGAAGCGTACCCGCACGCATGTCCCTCAGGGGAAGAAGTGAATTGTATTCCAACATGTTCCCTTTATGACTGACTATTGGTTACTGTCCTGACTGGTTCTTTCCCTTCTGCAGCTTTCTATCATTTATCTGGTGGTCTGTGTGAACCAAACAGTATTGGGGTTTGTGTCTTATGAGTGGAGTGACAATCTGTCGATCCAAAGATTTTGCATGTAATTGTTTATGTACATATAACTGTTATAGCATTGTGTATTCCATACACTACCACTATTCTGTTGCAGATTGTTGCACATGATGTGTCATTGTTTACCAAGAACTATACTAGTCTGTAGCACATCAAAAAATAAAAAATAAAAATAAAATCCGCCCTCCCTCCCCGATTTTTGTGAAAAAAAGGACGATAAACTGGGATTTTATTTTACTTGGCCTTACAGTAGACTCGTACGGCCAAGAACGCGGTTTCAGACGGCCAGCCTAGCAAAGTTCTTATTTTTCAGCGCCCCAGGCTACGTTCTTATTTCGCGTTCTTACGCGTCCAACATGACCCGTGACGCTCATGTACAATGCACTTTGCGCTACATGTACCGGTTGTACACTTCACATGCACGTGTAGTATGTAGCGCTGCACTGGGTGATGTTTTCGCGAGGACCCGACAAGAGTTTGTGGTTGCGGACTTGTTTTCGTGTACTCGGACAAGATCATGAAGGTGCAACAGAAAAGACTGTCCGTTCTTTTTTTGCATTCCATTGCAGTTTTCTATGCATAAAATGGTCCGGAAAGCCGGTAGCATTACCATTCTGATACAGAAAAGTGCAATACCAAAAATGTCGCGTTCTTAAAAATCTTGGAGTTCGTTCTTAAATCCAGGCTGGGGCGCTCTTAGATTTCCAGCCTGGACGTTCTTGGGCATACGAGTCTACTGTATGTGCCGACAGTGTATCTTGAAAATCAGGTTTGTATTCAAAACAGGCTTCTGTATGAGACCGGCTTTAATACAAGACACTACGGTATGCACAAACTGGCTCACCAATACGGTAGAGGATGGATTCCTGGGGTCAGTAGTCTGCCACGATGCCAGTTCGTACTCCTCGTCCACAACAATACACGCCGAGCCACTCAACAACTGCACACGCAACACACAGGCAACCAGAACAACAGAAACCATACAAAGCATTGATTGGACAATCTAAAACACAGCGTAGAGAGCAAACCATGCACACATACCTTATTTTCCGGAGCACGTGTATCAGCCGAACTGGAGTAAAAGCAGCACCCAGATTTTTTGTCACGAAATACAGACTTGTCCATGAACCCTGTATATCACCCTTCAATGGATCATCGTAGTATAAGCTGGACTGACATTTTCGGGGCGAAATACTTTTAAGTGCGGCTTTTGCTCCGGAAAATAAGGTACACATTTTCAGCATGAAAATATCAGGGAGGTTTTGTTTCATGTGAAACGTAGAGAAAAGACAGAAAGAAAAAAAGTGCACGGGTTAGAATCTATTGGTTTGCTTGTTGGCTTTGACTGAATCAATGTTTATTGAACCATCGGCCATGCCCTGTTAGTAAGGCAGCCATACCATATACATCTACAATAGTGTGGCCAGCTATGAATTTTTTTTTAATATTTTACCAGCAAACACAGCCCTGCTATAATCAGGGGAAGAGGACAACTGAAGTGACACTGGACAACAAGACAAAGGGAGTAGGGGCGATGTATGAACAATTGTAATCGTATAGTTGTGTACAGTATTGGGCAGACCATGTTCAACTAGAAACTCTGTCAGGTCAGCACTGTATGCGGGAACTGCATGCTCCTAGAGATAATGTACTCCGGATACAACATGATTGGAGTCGACATTGCTTACGTTCATCGGCTTGTTCAGAACAGCAATTAGTTTCTGCTGAAGTCTATTCACGTAAAGACATCGTATGGCGAGCTTCGTCCCCTCTGTTCACAGTGGAGAGAGAGAGAGCGAGAGAGAGAAAAGAGAGAGAGAGAGAGAGAGAGAGAGAGAGAGAGAGAGAGAGAGAGAGAGAGAGAGAGAGAGAGAGAGAGAGAGAGAGAGAGAGAGAGAGAGAGAGAAAGAGAGGAGAGAGACACAGATAGGACGAAGTATCGTGACGTCTGAGGAAGTGTGTGTTCTTGGCAACACAGTGCCACCTCAGTATAAAGTACCTACAAGGGATCGTGTCTCTGAGTGTCTGTAGCTTCTCTATCTGTGCTCTATCTTTGCACCCCCTCCAATATTCACACGCTTGAAATGGGAACAAATACATGACACGTGTCATGTATTTGGGTGCTAGTGTTGTTATATTGGTGATTACCATGGTAACGCATTGTGCAGTTGGCGATACTACACATCGCAGGTGTTCAAGGAAATCCGGTACTCAACCATCCTTGGCCGGCTACCGTAAAAGTCCGTAAATAAGTACCTGCCCGAAAAAAATACCCCCTTCATTCTTTTGGCTCTGTCTGTTGAAGTCAAGTCAAGCCCGATAAACATACTGCCCGAAATCAGTACCGGTACGATGCGCACATGCAGCACGTAGCATGTACATTGACATGAATAATGACTTCTCCACTACACACACGTCAGGTCCGAAAGTAAGTTCGTGCCCGAAAGTCAGTACCCGCCCGCAAGTGAGTACGGGTGTGGTCACTAAATTCGAAAGTAAATACGTACTTATTTACGGACTTTTACGGTAGTCTGCAAGAGAGTGAGTGGACTAAACAAACACAGCTTCAGGGTGGCATTGAAAGCAGGACGGCACAAGTCAACGTACCTCTGCCGAGTAGCCATCGGTGATAGAAGAAAGCGCTCTGGTCCACTGGGTCTGTGTACATGGCATTCTTTGCAAAGTCAAGCTCTGACCAGGGGGGATACACATAACACATGCACGCGTGCACACACACACACACACAAACACACAAACACGCACCCACACCCACACACACACACACGCACACACGCACTTACACAAACACATGTACACACACGCACGCATGCATGCACAAAACATGTTCACACATGCACGCATGCATGCACAAAACATGTACACACATGCACGCATGCATGCACAAAACATGTACACACATGCACGCATGCATGCACAAAACATGTACACACATGCACGCATGCATGCACAAAACATGTACACACATGTACATACAAGCACACAGCACAAACAATGAAAACGGATTTCGGATCTGCCAGAATCACTTGGCAATGGCACCGGTACACTGCCAAAAAGGATGGGGCTTTCACAACACAAACCCATTGATGGTTTTCCAAGGATCCATGGGGCCTGACGTGCTTCTGAAGTTTTTTTTTACAAAAGCCACAAACCATCATGGTGCGAACGCCAGCAAAAACGCACAGAGATACATATAGCGATGGCAGCCGAAGCAGTGGAGAGCAGCTAAGTAAGTTTGCATATCTTCGTGTCCCATAAAATCACTCTCCGTCGACCACACGCCACCACCTTGCCCCCACCCCACCCGAACACACTTGCAACCCCACAATGATGCACACAACGTCACAAGGGATAGTAGCATCCAGAGCAAAAGAGACAAGCTATAACAATCTATGACAACCGCTATGGGCCTGATCACAACAGCCTCAGCCATACCAATGATGACACACAGCTTTCCACAGCGAGTTATGCATTCAACACACCTTTCATATGCCTTGCTCCAAAACCCAGGAACAGACACATCTTTCCCATCCCTCTAAGGAAGCTGTTTGCGGCAAATGTTCGGTGTGTTTTAAATTGGCGCCAAAACCCAAAGAATGTTGCACCATGAAAGTGCTGGTGCTAGAACGTCACAACCACAGGGAGTGAATGAGATGATTAGAAAGCCAAACATAGATATACAGGCAGGCAGGCAAAGACTGTACATGTATACGCACAAATTTTCGTTCACAAAATCTTTCGTTAGATCACTCCACCAGCAGGTTCGTTACGTGCTAAATTTCGTTTTTAGTCAAGGTCTGTCACCCCCAACGTTCAGAAAAAAACTTTAGTTATTTCGTGCCCCTAACGAATGTAGCGAAAGTTAATTACAAACGAAACTGTGTACTTAAACAGTAGGCAGACATGCGGGCAGGCATGCGGGAAAGGAGGACAGAATGGAAGAGCAGCCGGCTACCAACCTTGGGTGAGTTTCTCCTGAGACACTCCGCAACCAGCATTTCCAGGGTACAGCTCTGGCAGCAGTCGACTCCGGTTATGCCACGCCGAATAGTTAGAGTAGCTAGCCTTGATCTTGTCGGACGTAAACTCTACCTCGTCAGCAGCTGAGCGCAGCGCGCGCTTGGCAACAAAGCGCCGATAATCCCAGCAGTGGACTTCAAACACAAAAAAAGAATAGCAAAAGAGAGAGAGAGAGAGAGAGAGAGAGAGAGAGAGAGAGAGAGAGAGAGAGAGAGAGAGAGAGAGAGAGAGAGAGAGAGAGAGAGAGAGAGAGAGAGAGAGAGAGAGAGAGAGAGAGAGAGAGAGGGGGGGAGAGAGAGGGAGAGACAGGGAGAGAGAGAGAGAGAGAGAGAGATGATTCAAAGTAAATCATTCAACAACTATACAGTCACCCCTCTCTAATCCAGCACTTGAGAAACCAGTACCCTCAACAGACCAGCGTGACTTTCAGTGACCAAAATGTTCTATTCATGCCCGCTGCACCAGTAAATCAGATTTCCTAATCCGGCACCCTCCCTTATCCAACACCATTGCCGTAGCACAAAATGGTGCCGCATCATAAAGAGGCCACTGTACAGGCTCACTCACTGGGCAACAACATCATTCTCTCTCTCTCTCTCTCTCTCATTCTCTCTCTCTCTCTCTCTCTCTCTCTCTCTCTCTCTCTCTCTCTCTCTCTCTCTCTCTCTCTCTCTCTCTCTCTCTCTCTCTCTCTCTCTCTCTCTCTCTCTCTCTCTCTCTCTCTCTCGTCGTCACCATGTAGTCTTTCGTTTCGTCTCTCGTCTACCCGGATAAATATCGCCCTTTCATCTACCTCGTCCGTATTTCGTCGTGTGACGGAATTATGGCAGAGGGGAGTTTCAACACTTACAATTGCGCGAGTCCTTGGAGAGCGCACGGCTGCACAGCTCCACCTCTCTGTTCCAGTCGGGCCGGTGCAGCTGGTCCATGACCCAGGCGCGATGGTGCCAGACGCCGTACGACTTTGGATTCACCATCAGACAGGCCACGGTCAGCGCCAGCTCGGCAAGGTAGCGCTCGTCGTGCGTGGCCACTCTGGGGGGTGCAACGTCCTGGCCTGCCTTGGGTGCACCACCACCACCACCACCACCGCTGCTGTCATCATTAGGAGTACTGGATCTATCTGTGGACAGCTCCGCCGTGGGGTCGCTTGACGCGGCGGCGTTTCCTTCGGCTTCGGTGCTCGCGTCCGCGACAGCAAGCGGGCTCTCAGTGGTGGCCTCCGCTGCAGTCACGGCACACGTGTTCTTGGCACGGTCTTCTGCGGCTCGATCAGCCAGCAGCAGCCTGGTGAGAACAGTGAATCAACATGGCCAGTATGCATTTCAAGTACGGTGCTGCTCAATGAAATCCAGTCGTGTCACTCCAATTTGCACCTTGCATCATTTCGCTGCCCAGTGTTCGCAGGTCTAGGGCTGCGCAACGCTCGGCGCGTGCTTGTGTGACACAACCGGATTTCATTGAGCAGCACTGTACTAGAGGGGTTTAGTAAGTTGCGCTACGGGAGCGTGTCACAAGTCAGTTGCCTCGCTATCACATCCCAGTTGTGCCTGACAGATTGGTGTGCTAGGGGTCTGACAAACGTTGACCCCCACTCACGTTAGTGACATGCTCGCTTCACCACTCACTCAACTTCTCCCGCCCAACACATGGGTTGCAGCTGCAACAATTCGACTCTGCATGTGCAAAAAGGTTCAAAAAGTCTGACTAAGCCGCAAAAATCAAAATTTCATGCAAACAGGCCCAGGATCTGCGGGTCGTACAAGGTGCCATACTTTTCGTACTTTTCATCAAGAAAAAAATTGGGACACTAAAAGCCAGACTTGCACTAGCGATTTGTCCAGCCGTGTATTTCAATGATGTAATCAGCGGTGACGAAAGTGTCGTCAGGACATACTGTGGACTTTTCCTTGATTCAAAACATCAATGGTTTGCTTGAGGACGAGTCAGACTGAGTTTTCCGCACGCGTAGAAACACCACCGCCCTCACGGATCAAGGCGCAGATGTAGCTTCTAAAGCGGTGGGAGGTGAGTGAATCAGACCCACCACAACGTGAATGGGATGGGGATTGGGAATGGCGAAATGCAAGTGTGATTTCTGGCACAAACAAAAGCTGTCCGAGACTATGACACTCTGACAACAGTACATGACTGTAAACATGCTGATGTAGTAATAGTACTTGGTCCGCCCAGTTAAAATTGGCGCTTATCTTCACACTTGTCTCAGGAAAGCAATACGAATATTTGAAGCAAGCCACGATCACAAAGCACTATATACATGATTATTTACATGTCAGTAAGCAACTCAGTCAAAAATTCAAGCAAGTTACACATCCTCCTCGCCACTATCGTCGCTGGAGGAAGAGCTCAAAATGTACGATCCGGACAGCTGCTGCACGGGTCGTTTCATAGCTTGTTCCACTTCTCCTCGTCTCGAAGCACGCTCAAAGGCAGTGCGTGCCTGTCACCTTCCCATCAGAAGCTGAGTGAGACTGCCCGCATGTTGACTGTAAGTGTTATCCCCGTTCCTCGCAATAATGCGTCTTTGTTTGAGACAAAAAGGCAACGCCATATCAGTGTCCTTTTTTCAAATCACCTCTTGCGCTTGTCGTACTTGCTGATCAGCACCCGTACCCATGCGAGCCGCTGGCGCTTGAAGATCTACATGCAGCGCAGTGATAGCTTCCGCTTGATGTAGCACCTGTGGCCTGTGCGTACTGCACCTACAACGCCGTGCACCAGGCTTTTCGGCTAGTTTCCTGAACGTCCTTTGCACGAGTGTTTCTCTCAGGACTTGGTGTTTTCTTTGATTAGCTCCTTTGGCCTGTCCTCTGTGAGCTTCAAAGTGTGTCCGCCGGATTGGTCTCACTTTCTGGAGATATCGACATGAGCTGCAGTTTCTTCGTCAGCGATTTGCTGGTGATAGCCCTTCACTAGGCGCTGTACTGTGCAAGCAATGAAATTCAAGCTCGCGAAGCGCTTTTATACCTCCCCGGGGTAAACAATCCTTGCCATCAGACAGCTGGAAGTAGACAGAAACTGTATTGTCCATCGGTCTGAAATGCGAACATCCTGACCTATTTTACGGACTCGAGTGGAGGTTGCAGTGTTTTCTTGCGCTGACGGAAGTGTTCGTCGGCGGCAGCTCCGTCAAAAAGACTCAAACGAACCGATCGCAACTTCTGTGATGGTTTGTGCTGCCATGTCGTCGGATGAAATGGTCAATGGTTATGTTCGGATGGTGAATCGGTGGTTCCAATGCCGTGTGGCACAGGCAGAACACCAAAAAATCAAGTTAGAAGATAAGCGCCAATTTTAACTGGGCGGACCAAGTATACAAATTATAATACAATACAACAAGGGTGCACAGCTAGGGTGTCTCTAGAGGTTCATGCACATTGTGCAATCATCAGAAAGCAGATGTACACGTATGCTACATGTTACGCAAGCGTCGTACCGTTGAAGAGTAACCCGGCGCACATTCCAGACTGTCAGGAAGTCGGGGTTGACACGGAGCAGCTCCTCCGTCTTGCGCATCAACTCCTCGTCAAACTCATTGCTATCCCTCTGTGTAGAAACAAAATAGAGCGGCACACACGCGCGCGCGCGCGCGCGCGCGCGCGCGAGAGAGAGAGAGAGAGAGAGAGAGAGAGAGAGAGAGAGAGAGAGAGAGAGAGAGACAGAGAGAGAGAGAGACAGAGAGAGACTAGTAGTTGAAGCTATTGAACATCACACAATCATACGTAGCACTGTATTAAACTCAACAATAGTTTGGCAGATTCCATAGTGCTAAGATAAAATAGAATGACACGTACAATTTAGACATTCGGAATTGCAAGCGCAGTAGAGCATCTCTTATCTGCGCGCCTTGGGGCCGAAGGGTGTCCGCATTTCAGAATCTCCCGAACTCGGAAAGACACTACATATGGCAAGTCATCGTTTTATGTTGGGCTCATTGGCCCCACACCAACACCATTTACAAACAGACACAGTAAGAGCTAAGGCCTGTGATCTTTGAGAAGTGAAGAAGCTCAGCTGATAGGCATGAAAAGGAAATATTTTTCACGATTCGACTGCACCTACGTGCCTCCTGGGTGCCCGGTTGAGGGAAGTGCACGGATACAGGGCATCCAGACAAGAGAGTTTCCGCCGTATATGTGTGTCTGCACCAGAGCTTTCTGTTGACCGAACCAGAATGCGGTCACCAAAGTGGGCCCAAAATACTTTAATGTTTCTGAAGACTCACAGTTGCTCAGTGCATGCAGGCACAGTTTTGGCCAAAAAAGAGTACATGTTCTCTCTAAGAAAAGTACGAACTTCAGAACAGGTTCCTCAAAAGTAAAAAGAAATAAAGCAAGAGCAATGAATAGAATACAACAGAGAGGTGAAAGAAATACAAGAATAGCCAGAAACAACAATGGTAAATGCGTGACCCTGCACACATACTGTGTGTTTCTGTCACCTCTCTGCTGTGTTGAATTCAGTATTAGGATTGACAAGACGGTGCACATGTGAAGAACCCCACCACGTGTGCAACGTATTGCGATAACAACAATAGACAGCCAATGGGCCCAACCTACAAGATAGTTGACGACCTACCTAACAGTTTAAACGTGAATTTAACTGTTTCCCCTGCCCCCCCCCCCCCCCCCCCCTCCCCACTATTGTTTACCTGGCCTGGCTAGAACCCTGTTGTGTGATACAAATACATTCGAAAACATTCAATAACTTAGTGCTACATACACGTGACTACTGTTGTTATTTTTGGGCTAGTCTTCTTTGCGCTGTTTCTATCACGGTTTTTCATCTCTCTGCTGTAGTAAATGCATTATTTTTGTGCCTGTGTTCCGCCTGATGAACGGTTATCAAAAGTGTTTGTGGAAATGTTCTCGAGAATGTTGCTTGTGAGTAGCCTAAAATTTGTTCTTTCCCACTGTGTGATTGCCATTCTCGTGTCCTAGAATCCTACATTGTACTTCTCGTGCTAGATGATGCCTCCAATGTCATTCCGGATAGCCGCGGCCATAGGCACTGCCAGCTCTGCAATGGAAATGCCCGATGAGCCTTCTCCAGGGCCAGACACCACCATCCAAAGACTGTTTCTTCACCGGCCAATTCAAGAAACACATCCTCCAGGAGCCCATAAGCACACCCTGCACGCACGTACTCAGAAATAACATACCTTCTTGAAAATATCCTCCACGGTGGATGTATACCAGTCAATCTTCTTGATGCGCTCGGCTTTGCGTGCCTCTGCTTGCTCAGCGGGCGTCTTTACCTTGACACGGCCATGCTGCACAGAGAGAGAGAGAGAGCGAGAGAGAGAGAGAGTGGGGGGGGAGAGAGAGAGAGAGAGAGAGAGAGAGAGAGAGAGAGAGAGAGAGAGAGAGAGAGAGAGAGAGAGAGAGAGAGAGAGAGAGAGAGAGAGAGAGAGAGAGAGAGAGAGAGAGAGAGAGAGAGAGAGAGAGAGAGAGAGAGAGAGAGCAACAGAGAGAATGTCTGGGTGTAGTATTGACCATAATAATATGTACGTATTAAAAGCCGAGGCGAGTTATCAGTAAACGTCAACCATAACGAGTCTAGGTGATCCAGATGCTGGCAGCTGGAATATTTCACCAAAATACCTACTAGTGAAGTTGTGACAAGTGAAAATAAAACACAATGTGCACCTGCAGCACTGAAGACCACAAAGCCCCGCACCAGTACACCCATAAGCCGAATAAGTGTGCATGGGTGTGGATACCTCTTGACATGCACTGACCAAACACATGGTTTATTGGGGGCAGGTAATTTGGGTCACTTGAATGGAATTATGTTGGGTGGGAATTACAGGCACGCAGGAAGGGGAGGGGTCGGAGGGTCCGGAACCCCATTTTAGTAGGGGGGGGGGGGGGGTTTACCACGGAGAGCCTTGAGATATCGAGGAAAAACTCCTTTCCAGATACTGTATATTCTCTATTATAAGCACAGGTCTCCATTACTAGCATAGTCTCTAATACTAGCACACTGTGAGCACCTTTCGAAACATTATAAGCATAGTCTCTATCATTAGCACGGTCTTGGTGGAAATCAATGCTGCATGCATGATATCTAGCATGTATTTCTTCTTGCTCTGTATGGATGTATTGGTTGAAAAAATATAAGCACGGTCTCCAATATAAGCGCGGTCTCCAATATAAGCACGGGGTAGAGGGGTGTTGGAAAATATAAGCACGGTCTCCAATATAAGCACGGCGCTTATAATAGAGAATATACGGTATGTACCATGTCATGTACATGTCAGCACACGAAGCACAGAAGCCATATAATTTTTTTCGACTAGGCCTTTCATTCCATTACTCTTCAGGTCGAATACACTGGTGATTAACAAGGTAGTAAGCAAGTCCTTATAACCGGCACTTTTGGCGGGCAGAGCATTGACAAAAATAGCACTTGAAAAATAGCGTGGCACTAGTGGCACCAACAGCATATTTGGCGGTCTCTGCACGCGGCATATGTACTTGTCCCCTGGATATACATGTACCGTAAAATCCCGCCAGAGCGCCCCGTCTCTCCCATGCGCCCCTCCCTAGGCCTCCGCGGAATATGCTCGTATTTTTACCGCTAATTCCTTTGAGCATTGCTCAAAATTTCGACCGATTATTCCCGTAATTCCACCAATAATTCTCACAATAATGCTTTTTTTCTTCCCTTTTTTTGCAGATACCGTACCGCGTACGGGTTTTTTTGCCACTTGTACGGGCGAAAAAATCACGGTTCGCGTGAAACTCGGCTGGAAGCTCTTTTTTCTTTCTTTTTGAAATACCGGGCGATCAACTTCAGGATCACAAGCTTTTTGGTACAAATCAGGGTGTTATAAATGGAAAAAAATTGAAAACAGGGGGGCATTGCTCAAATGTTACCGATTATTCCACAAAATTGCCAATAATTCCCGTTTTAAAAATCACACCGATAATTCCCGAAATTATGCCGGCACATTCCGCTGAGGCCTACCCCTCCCTGACTTCCTGACAGGGACGTGATAATGATTGTATCCTCGTACGACTCTGTGAAGGGTGTGAGGCTGTCCTGTACTGCAGACGCGTCCTCGACCTGGTTGGAAATGTACGCAACAGTTCCTACCCTCTCTACCAGGGATTGCACAAGAACTTGGTTTTGATGGGTCTGTACGACGCCCAGCTCTTGACCTTTGGTCGGTGTACGAGACGCACGCACAGTTCTTGTAGGGTGAGTACTTTTTCATGTAGTACTGAATGCGGCAAGCAGTACTCGCCCTTCTGCCCCTCTCCACCGGGACCTACTCGAATGGTGGCGGAGGTAGGGAGCGCTCTGGCGGGATTTTACGTCACACACCTTTTTTTACAATAAACCTAAAGACGGAAGAAGGAAGCACCAACTCAAGTAAGGGGTCGTCGCAAACGTGTTTAGTCGTACCTGAAACGAACATCGTTCATTTCGTACTCGGACCCCTCCCCGCCCTCCGAAACGAACACAGCTTGCTATGCTGGGCGACAAAAATCTCATGCACGTACATGTGTATGAACAGTGTCAGTCGACTTGAGATTTTGCCCCCCCCCCCCCCCCCCCCCCTCTCCAATGAACGATGTTCATTTCAAGGACGACAAAAAAAAACTTTTGCGACCTCTGAAACGATACAACCGAGACCTGAACCAGGGGTGCGACTTATAGTGGGCCGGCCTTATCGATATTTTATGCAAAATGAAAAAGTTTCGTTTATGGGTGGGTGGGTCGAAACTTTTTAATTCCTGCATGATGATGACATTCATTGGATATACATGTAATGGTTCATTCGTAAATCCTCTCGGAAAAGTCCGAGACTCACGAGAGAGTTCGAGAAGTGTTCTTATATCCTCTCTGAATTTTAGGAGACCCTCCAACGCTTTCCAAGTTCTCCGAACTTCAGAGGTGGTTGAAACTTGGATATCCCGCGTTTTGGGGTCAGCGCATGCGAACTACTGCTGAAGCCACGTGTTGATCAAGAGTGCACGGCATTCCCTTTTCGCATACGCACAGTGCGTACTACATTCGTGTCACTCAAGATCGTGGCCTCTGTGGCGCTTCACATGTGCACAAGATCTTCGAATTCTTCGAGACCCATTCCTAGATTATCCAAGTTTCTTCGACTTCCGGGAGAAATTTCTCTGAGAAGCTACTTTTTTTGTAGAGAAAATAGTAACGCACCGGAATAGTGTACATCACAAATCCACAACACAATGTACGTGACTGCACTGTAGTACATGTAGTGGCAGAACAAAATGTTGCCCGTGCTGAACAAATGAACGTATTGTGACACTGTTGGCCAATCTCTGATTGTAAGAAATTACGTGCAGAACGGAGATACTGGTATTGCGCTTTGTGGATGATATGTCTCTGTTGTAACAGCTTACTTAAGTCTAACTATTGCAAATGCCAAATGCAACAGAATGGGGGTCAGTCAAAACAAATCCGAGATACGAACGCTACACGCTTCAGTACGGAATGCACCAGCTTCGAGCCTCCTCTTAGATATGTTTTAGACATGTGGCAAGTCCTTCAACAGGCTGAACAGCCGCAATTTCAGTAAGGAAAGTGATCATGGATGTCTGGGAGTCAAGAATATTTCCATACGATATTTCTCTTTCAAAACACTTACCATTTCGGAGTGTATTGGAGTCCAGAAATTAGATCAAATTCTTAGGAAATTCAGAACTAAGAAACAACTATCCTCGTGGAACTCGAATGTATTCCAACAAGGAAATTAAGTGGGAATAACTAAGAAAAGACAAAAGTAGCTGCCACTTTAGTTCGCCATGCCAGCAGGTCCTCCAATAAAAAGCAAGTAATAAAATATTAGTTGATCAAAGAAAATAATTCAAAGTGCAGGCAGTGCATAAAAAAATAGTTCTTCTTGGATCCCATTTGGCGTCACACACGTACACGTACGTAGTCTACGTTTTTATGGACGTCATCATATAGAGGACTTTCCAATGAGTCATACCGTGCGGCCTATGAGGATTCGGGCCAAAGATCATCGAGTTCACCACCGATCACCGGACTTGAAACGGAGCTTGGGTGGCAAAAAAAGAAGACTGCACTGGAAGGAAACAGTGTTTTTCGAAAGCAGTGCCATTTTGCATACTGTAGTTTGAGAATACCAAAGGGCTGCTCGCGATCGGATGTTCCCACACCTGGATCGTCTTTGAGTTGTTATCGTTTTCCCTACGATGGAGAACGACGGAACCAGTGGATGACGGACACACGACTCGAGAACTTCGCTCCTGATGCAAATACTTCGAGGTACACGAATATTGTTCCATCACTTCGTTGGCGAAGAGAAAAGTCATGATCATCCCCTGTCACCCCAGTACGTATCGAACTAACTAACCAACTTGTTCAGCTTATTTGTGGCAGCACCAGCAAAGGCGGAAACACGAAGATGATTCCGAACACTATCAACTTACTTAGTTTGTTGGGGTGCAAGGTACATGTATAGCTGGAGTTTGATGATTGATAGGGCTGATGCTGATGGTAATGACTAATGTACCCAGCTCTATGCACGTACCTCTACATGACTGGTGGTGCTAGCTATTCTAGTACTGGTCCTGGGTGCAACTCATCATCTCTTCCATGCCAGTGTGTATGCCTCATGTTCTGCACAACGTGTATTTCCTTTGTCATGGATAAATACTCTGATCGACCTACTTGCGCAATCTTCTTCTGCTTCCCACTTGGTTGCTGCGCTGTGCAGTTCTTCATCTGCTGCGGCACATACTAGTATACCTGATCTTCTGTCTTTCTGGTCAATTAGGTACATGTATTCAGCTTCTTGATCTTCTTGTGGTGAGGATCATCTTGATCTTACTTCTTGTGTAACTCTTGCAAAGGCAGTAATGGAGGACACTCTACCGGTAATCAGCAACTGCTTATGGAGAATGCCAGGTCGAGGGGCGACCAGGAGAAAACAATTGCTGTATTGGATGTGCATTCATCAGCGTGTTTTAAGATCAGGACAACTAAGTTCGCCACTACACCAACTTTTTGGCTACATAGGAGCAATGATGATGATGGCCGTGTTTGACTTTGTCAGCTTTCGTGCTACCAGCCACCGCATGTCAACATTGTCATACTCGTACTGATAAGGAAGAAAAACCCACACATGCACACACATGCACACACACACACACACACACACACACACACACACACACACACACACATGGATACACTGACAGGCATGCAAAGCAAGAGAGACAGAGAGAGAGAGAGAGAGTCAGGCAGCGAAAGAGAAGTGAGACTACTTGTAGGTTATGGGCACGGTGCTCCAATTTCTGCCCAGCTGAAGTAAAATCCATGTACACTATTTTCGTGTAGTGTTCATTGACGGTGCCAGCCACTGGTGAGTGACCCAGTGGTGTAGGTGTTCACATTCAGCACACATCACATTTCAGTCTCCAACGTAAATTCAGTCAAAACAACACTGCACTGTAGCAACATGGGAACATGCTTCTCCCAGGCCAACCATGCAAGTGCAGTGTGCGCCAAGAACAATTCCAGGTAATTCAGCAGCTACCCAAGGATGGACAGGTTCGGCAAAAACACTCCGCGAGTGCCTGACGTTTGCAAACGTATTTTGTTGACAGTTGTTGTTTCTTCCTTCGATTGGGCAAGACACCATAATGTGCCAACCCAGCCAGCAATGAGACACATGCATTTGTATCCATCAGGGCTATTGTAAGACTTTAGAGAGTCCTTTGCATATGTGCTGGGGACATTCACTAAATATTTTAGAGAGGCCTGGATACCCAACGCAGGGGGGTTGGCTGAAACGTCTTCGTCCATAGGTAAATATGGATCAATGTACTGGGCCCACGGATTCTGTCAATCTTCTCGCGGCAACGCCTCTTCAAGGCTGGAATAAACAGTAGAGTAACTGCGGCTAGTAATCCTCGCGACTTACCGAAACTATTCACCACATCAAAGAAAAGCAAAAGTGCTTCACCACTGCGACGGCCTGCAACATCATTTTCAACCGTACACCGAACAACACATTTGATTCTCTTTTTGCCACCCAAGCACATTTTACCGTAGGACACGGACTTGTCTTATGGGTGATCTTTGGGTGGACACCGGGAAGGCGCCAAAAAGGTGATGTAAAGGAAAGTCCTCTATACGTGCACGTAGTACACACGATACTGCACTGCACTGACGTCATGGCGGCCCAGCACATGCACAACGTCGTCGACTCGTCGACGTCGAGTCGACGGTTCCTTCCAACCTACCAGGGACCAGTCCCTGCTTCCAACTCCCACCCAAGATTTGTTTGTCTCTTCTCACTTTGAAATAATTTAATTTTAATTTTGGTCTTGGAAGAGTCTTGCTAGTTAGTAATCATGGATTTATGTGCACCAACATGGCCTTTGTAACATGAGAATGTTGTCTTGGGGGGCCTGATGGGGTCCTGCTTTTACTTAGCGCATCATGGTAGCCTTGCTATGCCGTGAAAACGAGGTGACCTTGCATGGCGATTGAGCTGGAAGAAGGCCGCTGAGAAAGTAGAAAGTGGTTGCTGCAAGGACCATAGGTAAGCTACGGTGCCACATGTGCCTGTGTCCAAAGTTGATCTTAGACCAACTAATTACTTACTTTTATGGCCTACATTTAGTAGTCATTATGCTTCCTTTATTTTTATAAACCCGATACGGGTAGTGGACCGCACCTGAAAGAACTGCAATACCAGGGCGATCCGTGGAGAGGGTGAAGCAAGCTTCGAGCCGCTCTCCATGGCGCAAAAATACATTTGATCGAATGTTGACATATAGTCAACATATCAGCGATCAAACTGATAAGAACAGATACTACACTTGATCTTAGCCAAAAGGCCGAGAAGCGATACTGTTTTCTTCCAGCGCTCTGGAATTTATCCCAAAAGGACCCCAAGTGGCTCTATTCCCAAACTGGAAACTCCAGAAAACACTGGGAACACGCACGGGGGCCCAAAATAGGTGTAATCTGGTGTTTTGGTCGGGCTGGCGCGGGTCTGAATTACCACCCCGTGCCGTGGTTGCTATGGTGTTGTCATGGTGAATTGGTACTGTTGCAATTGTCTCCTTATATCGCTGGAAGCATACTGTAGGGCTTTGTAGTGACTCTGGCATTGGTACTTTATGGTTTTGAGGTGGTTTGGAGCCAGCGATCTGTTCTTTGGCTGCTTGTTGGGTTTTATAATTAATTTTCTTTTGGTTTATAGGAGATGGCATTGAAATGTAGTACTAGTAGTCTTAGTTCTAGACTGTCTGGTGTGGCAGTTTGCTAGCTAGCTGTGTGGCATTGTCTTTGCCTACTGTACGTCTATGAATTTTCGGCCCATTCGAATAATTTCGGCCTCCCAGGGCTAAAAGTAAAACACATTTTGGCCGCGTTAAAATTTCGGCCTGTACTGCTGCTGACTGTATACAATGTCACACTGAACCTTGCAAAACGAAGTTTCGGCCAAGCATGACCAGGCCGAAAATCAGTAGCAGAAAATAAATAATATGCGCCGAATATTTGTTGACTTACGGGATCTGCTTTCCCCTGCCCAGTCTAGATTGTTTGGTTGCCATGACTATTGAGGGGGGGGGGGGGGGTCTGCATGCAACTGGGCGCCGGGCATGTGTATTCTTCGTGTGTTGGTGTGGCCTGCCTGCATGCATGCATCATGCAGTACAGTTGAGTTGTGAAGCATGCCCAGTAACCAGTAGTAACACTGGGCGGATGTTGAGTGATAATACGTATCACTACATCTCCTTGTGCCTATTCCCATTGTGGTGTGGCGCAGCACTGGACAGCACTACTAGTACTCGTATGCGGTGCTGCCGGTGTCCGAAGAACTAGGGATCAGAGTCGTAGCCTAGGTCATTATTATTTTTCATGTACGTATATATGACATATAAATCGTTGCACAGTTGAGTCACCGTGTATACATGTACATGCACTTGTTCGTGTACATTGCCTATGTTGGGCTTGGTGAATTCCTAGCCTGTTCGTTCTTCGGCGCTCCGTTCTTCGGCGCCCGGCAGCACTGTAGTATTTATAACGCAGACACTTTCGTCGGGAATTTAATTTCGTCCTACTTGCCCAAAAGAAAAACCTCATCAGTGCAAAGGAAACTATTTGCCAGGAGCGGGCAAGCATGCTCTCAATCTGCACTCTCCATCTGCATACGGGGTGTGTCCAGTCGGCCTCTGTCTTGTTGTTGCTTTGTAATTACCGTATTTTCCGGAAGCCCCCCCCCCCCCCATATTTTGCCATGAAATACAGACATCTACCGTATTTATCATCGTTAAGTTGATCATCGGAGTAAAAAGCCGCACCCCTCTCCCCCCCCCCCCCCCCCATTCTTTTGGGTGAATGTTGAGTGTTCAAAGTGCGGCGTATACTCCGGGGGATACGGTCTTTGTATTCACTACAACATCCCAAACTGCAGCACATTGAGGCTGCTGACCGTAATGTGAAGAGAATGAGTGTTGGAGCCAACCACGGCAGCTGATTGAAAGGATTAGGGACTTGAAGGCATAGAGATAGGCAGGATACGCTTTCCCAACATTGGCATTGCGGGCTCGTGTTCTCACTCTGCTGCGAGACGTTTTAATGTAAGAAAAGAAGAAGAAAGAAACAACTGCAGGCGACTCCTGCTCAATGCATCCACGTGCAGGACCAGAGGTCTGGGGCAAAAGAAGAGTTGGCTTACAATGGCCATGCAGATGCTTGCTGAAACCAGATCCTCATTCCAGTAGCCATGTTCTTCTTCGACCGAATAAATACAAAGCACTTGTTTCACCTCTTTGATAGCAGTCATCGTGAGTTTCTTCGGGAATGGAGATGAACGTTTCGTCTTACTTTACACCTCTTTATGACACCCACTGAGCCCAATTTGCATGTGTGTGCGTGTGTATGTGTGTGTGTGTGTGTGTGTGTGTATGTGCGTGTGTGTGTGTGTGTGTGTGTGTGTGCATGTGTGTGTGTGTGTGTGTGTGTGTGTGTGCATGTGTGTGTGTGTGTACACGTGCATGTGTGTTCTGTGTCCATGTTTGTTGTTGGCATGTGCAGATGTGGTCAGTGTGCCTACACTTCATTGGCGACCCCGACGTGATTCGAATACGCCTCTAGATTCCCGACGGCCGATGCGATCAGTTCTCGACGTGACGGAACGTATCCAGACGTGCTTTTCACAAGTTCCCAAAACGACTTCTTACAACCACCATGCGTTCCGCGGAAACTAGTCAAGTTCCTCTCCAACTGTAAGGGGCTGTGAATGGATTGTGCGATCATGGGACTTGTCGACTTCTACCACCAACTCAACCACGTTGCCCGGCTGGCACCAGCCCTCCAAGCTCTGAGACAGGATCACCCCGCACAGCGGCCAAATCAGCTGATCTCATTAAAAACTGCCAGTTCGCCAATGTCAACACACTCGTCCGCGCCTCGTTGGCAGTTTCGCAATCACACCACGTCATCCCAGTTGTGTCTCGTCCCTCGCTTCAACCTCTCCAATGATTTCACCGTGCCCGGTCACCCGCTTCGCCCCTTGACACTTTGGCTACACTCACAGCTCTGCGCCGATGCCCAGTGTCTTCAGCATCATCGCTCTCCCTACGCCTGCACCCCGTCAATGCTCTCCCTACGCCTGCACCCCGTCAATGGACAACTATCCGTCACAAAGCCGAATCGTGAGTACTGAAGATGATCTGCAACCCTCGTGCCGCTCGCACGGCATCTCTGTTCTTCAACCCCCCCCCCCCCCCCCGCCGCTCCTCACGCAACCCACTACCTACATGTACGGCTGCACCCCGTCAATGGACAACGAACATGCTATTCGTCACAAAGCCGAACCGTGAATGCGGGAGATGATCCGCAACCCTCGTGCCTCTCGCCCTGTTCTTCAACTTGCCGCTCCTCACACAACCCACTGTGGCACTGTTTGCGCTTTTCCTGACTACTAGTATTTCTACAGTGTAGCTGCTGCCGCTCATCACCCCTACTGTTCTCGTTATCGTTCGCACTGTAGCATTTCACTAGGCGGGCAGCTACCGGTATGTAGCGGCTATTCGTCTTCACTAGCTACCGTAGCAGTGTACCGGCGGACTGAACAGTTACCTGTTGTTAACAACACCGGCCTGCACAGCGGCGGATCTAGCGATCTCTACAGCCCGGGGGGTTCCAGTATAGTCAAAACCTGAATAGCGGACACATGTACATGGACACGCATATGGTTGCCAGTAGCACATTTACGAAATTTAAGGGGTTCCACGGAACCCCTGGAACCTCTCCTGGATCCACCCCAGCTGCACCTCTTGAGCATAAACGCATGTCCCACGCATTGCATGCACAGCATTCTTACTAACACAGCGCTGACTCTCCTCTCCCACGCATTGCCGGCTTTTGTTATCCATGCATTCCGAGAGTGGGCTCCCTATGTTTGGACTTCGTTCCTCCGCATAGCTGTCACCGCCGGACCTTATTTTCTTCACCACTGCACGCATAACGACTATTGCTTTTTTTTCTTTTTCTTTTTACAAAATCCACATATCTCCAGACACTGCGGTGAATAATGGAGTGTAGTGGAGGGGGCAAAGCTCCCAGCTGTTCTAGCGATGCCTTGGGAAGTGTAGCCACCCACCACTCTATCTGCATGCCTACTCTTTCTACTAACATCTAGGCTGTACAACATTCTCTCTATTGCTGCACTCCACCTAGAGCATCGACAAGCATGCCTGCCTTCAACCTATAAAAGCCTCTGCCCTTCCCTTCTCCATCATCTCACAATCCAGTCACAGCTTTCTGTAGTCTGACTTTACTGATCAATCATCTGAACCCGTTGCACTTGTCGTGTGTGCCTGCCTACCCTTCACAGTTCACTCTCAGAATCAGCCAACAGTTTTCAGCCAAATACCGACCAGTCGATACTTGGCCGAAAGCAAGAAACTCGCCGCGAGTGGCGAGCATCCATCTTTGGGAAAGCCGGGCTACCGGTACCGTCCACCGTGACGAGGCGATTTCGCGCCGATCTTGACGAGTTTTCATTAAAACTCCATGTCGGTCGAAAAATAGTGTGGACCATGAACAACATGATGAATGCACGCTGGAAAATGGCTTGCACCAGATTACTCAGTCCACGTGACCCGGGCACCGACTGACACTCTGCCAGCCTACTGAGTACTGTAGGCTCGAGCCTTTGAGGGTACTACCGGGTATGCCTAGTATGCCTAGTATTGTTACAGTATGAACAATGTACATGACATGCACATTCAACATACTGTATGCATGAATCATTGTATAATTATACAGTGTATAACCGATTGACATACGTATACTATACCCGTACAGCACTGTCCAAGGGCGTCGGAACCGCACCGGCCGCCCCCCTTTTTCGGCCGTTTTTTTTTTTTTTTTTTTTTTTTTTTTTTTTAGCACACTGCAACAAAGCTCGATCGATGATCTCAGCGCAAACGTGGCAAATCCTTGTATTGTCCCCGATCGTGGTTTGTTGCAGAATCAAAAGTCCATGTACACTGAAATGGCACCAAATGCCTGGGAATGCTTGCAATTGGCTTCAATTTTTGAATTTTTTTCCCGGGGGAGGGTAATGTTTGTCCCCGATCGTAGCATCTTCTTGTTTTTTTGCAGAATCAAAAAGTCTTTCATTGTACTTCTCTATCAAAATATCTCTATCAAATCCTTGTCCCCGATCGTGGTTTGTTGCAGAATCAAAAGTCCATGTACACTGAAATGGCACCAAATGCCTGGGAATGCTTGCAATTGGCTTCAATTTTTGAATTTTTTTCCCGGGGGAGGGTAATGTTTGTCCCCGATCGTAGCATCTTCTTGTTTTTTTGCAGAATCAAAAAGTCTTTCATTGTACTTCTCTATCAAAATAATAAATTCTACTACTACTACTACTACTAGTTACCGTACACTGAAATGGCACCAAATGCCCGGAAATGCTTGCAATTGGCTTTAATTTTTGAAATTTTTTCCCGGGGGAGGACCCCCGGACCCCCCTTCCATGGCCGCCCCACTTCCAAAGTCGTTCCGACGCGCCTGCTGTCATATGTCAGTGCTAGTGACTACAATTAATTATTAATTTTTGTACAAACAACAATACTTAATAGTCAATATTGACTGTGTCATGATGTCAGTGATGTGATGTGACTGATGTCACAGTCATGTGCTTTGAGCCTGACGTCATTGTATGAGTGATTGAGGCGTGCATGATTGAGTGTCCACACATCGCCGTATCGGGGAAAAAATCATTCACCTTTCACTCTCGCCATTTCCCCTTCAAAATGAATCAATTCTGTCACTTCATTTACCATGTTTACACTCGTGCTCAGCTTTACCTTTGCCTCTGGCAGCTGTGACCTGCCTGGAAGGATACGATCGAACGAGCTGTAGTTCCTTAGCGTGCAACTCCTGCGTAGCCAGTCAACGATTTGCTTCAAGCCTCGAGATCTACGTCGTTGTTGTAGTGTCATTCGCTTCGCGCCTCGAGATCTCCGAAGCTATACTGGATACTGTGGATACGAAATACCGTGTCGACATCTTTCATTGTCTTCGGAATACCAGGGTACGGGTGAAGCGAACGACTCGTTCTTACCTTCCCAAGTTCTTTTCCGAACGAGCTCCGGCGCACCGGGCCTGTCTTCTCCGGAATTCCGCGACACGTGGCTGTGGAGTCTTCTGGTGCTTGGCTGAGATCGCAGCAATCTGTTGAGTTGCCTGATTTACCTGGTGCGTCTTGTCCGCTACTGGCGCTAGCAGTGGTATTTGCACGATGCTCCTGTACGTGGATCTACCGGAAGGTGGACGGATAACAGTCGAAGTCCTAGAGAGCGACACGGTAGCGAACTTGAAGGTAAGAATAGAAGAAAGTTACGGATAGGACTGATGACTCGTCCAGGGGTGTGTTCGTTTCTATTATTTTCGTAGACCGACCCCTTACTAGCCCGAGCTAGATGCATCGATGGGCTTTTAGCTTTTGGGGAATCCTTTTAAAAAATATAAATAAATTATAGAATTGAAAACATGGAAAACGGTGGGACACATGTTAACGGGGACTCACAGAAGCTTTTTTCTGCGATGCGACACGATATGTGACGGCGGTGTGCGATGCGAAAACAACTTTTACCAATCTACAAGCAACCCTCGAACCTTTATACAACTTTGCTGCAAAAATTGGTCAAAATCATACATCGCATCACATATCGCATCAGTTCTGCGACGGGCCAGTTGTGACGGTTGCATGAGCTGCGTGTGGATGCGATTTGGGGAACGTTTTCCTGGTTCGCGGCTATCGCATGACATACCGTACTCGCGCGATTGGAGCCCCCTCTAGAATAGTGCTCCAGTCTCTAAGAGCCAGTGAAAACATAAAGCCCTCTCTTGAATAGCCCCCCCCCCCCCCCCCGGTGATTGTAACCAGGCGCCTGTGAAAGTTTCGTATTGTTTTGCTAATACAGTCAACTTCGCTAATAACGACTGCGGATATAACGACAATTCGCGAATAACGACAGAATTTCCATGCCCAGAGCAAAGTACCATCTAACTGTAATTCATATAATGAGACTTCAGGTATAGGGACACTTCGCGAATAAGGACACTTTTCTGATGCCCCGCCGAGTGTCGTTATACGCAAAGTTGACTGTAGTCTTGTCCATGCCGTTGCACTGGTGGTTTCAGGATCAAAATCGCAGTTCTTGTTGCCGTTTCTGCTGAGTCGTGATCGTTTACAGCAAACTGTAGGCTTCGTTTTTCTTTCTTTTATGCTGAATGACGCAAATGTACCAGCATTGAAAAAATAGTGCCCTCTCTTGGATACCAGTGCCCCATCTGTGATGGACAGTGAAAAAATAGTGCCCCAGGGGCACTAATCGCGCGAGTACGGTAACTTGTGCCCCGTCGTTCTCCATGTTTCCAATAAAATATTTCCTTGGCGCACCATTTTGAGTTCTTCGAGCTACACCCCTGGATATATACTATATGAGACAAGTTACTATGACAGACCATGTCCTGTACATGACTAGGGTTCTCATACTGGTGTTCCATGTACGGGTAATATAAAATAATAATAAAAATAAATTCGACGGGTTCGCGTACCGGGCAGGTCAAGAACAAGGAGTCGTACAACTCCCTGGTCAAGAACCACCTTTCCGCTTCCGTGGGACGCCACCACCCCATGATCAGGCGTCAGATGCGGCTCCTAAACGGTGGGGGAGGATAGATCAGATCCACCAACCATGGGTCAAAGGCCTAAATCCCATTTGCCACATCCGTGATTTACTCATGCCAGGCCACGAGTTCCCAATTAACTGTGGGTCGCAGCACGGTTGGAAAAATCCTTCCACTTCCAAGCAGGACTTGAACCTGGTACCTCTCGTTCCTCAATCATGGTCTTAGACCAACCCACGGTACTATAGCATAATGTAAGTTTACGAAATTTCGGCCCAGTCACATTTCGGCTTCCCAGGGCTAAACTCCATTTCGGCCGCATCAAATCAAGTTTCGTCCTGTACTGCTGCCGTCTCAGTTGTCACACTGAACCTTGCGAAACAAAATTTCGGCCACAAACATGACCAGGCCGAAAATAACCGAAAATAAATACGCGCCGAATATTAATTAAATATCTACTGTACTAGTAAGTGAACAAAAGACTTCTGCCGCGCCTTTGTTCTCGTACTCCCCTTTATGTACTAGTGTTGTGCAACCCCCCCCCTTGTAGTCTGTCTCATTTTGCCCTGAGATGTTTTGATGCATAGTGATTATGACGCTCATCATTCGCTCCCTTGTCACTGGACAGTTCTGTCCGTTTGGTTTTAGCGAATTCAAATGGTCCGGTCATAATCGGGCCAACTTGTTGGCCACCAACGTGGGTTTACTGCCGATGAGCGGCTATGAGTACGTGTACCCACTGTAATTATACACGAAGTATGAAAGGCTATGGTATGGCCGGACCAATGGAAAAACGGCTTCCGCCGGTCCTGTTGGTAACCGATATTGTTGTGCGCACGCCATTTTGGTATCAAGGGCTGTGGTATCAAGGGCTGCTGCTAAGATAGATCACTGTATGGGTACAGTCAGCAACTCAATTCAAGCTTTCCCAGTTACTAGTAACCTCTACTTACCGTACGTTCTTGGTTTCAGCCAGCTACAACTTTCCCCATTCTCCATTCGAGCTCACCACACTCTTGGCTCCCGGAATCTTGACCAGTAGCTGGTCTAAAGCTGAAGGAAATATATTCCGATTTTTCCCCAGGGCCGATGCAACACTATTGTTTCTTGACAAGCCAGAAGTCTATCCTGCAGCTTTATGCCGCTTGGATATTCTTTGCATTACAAACAAGTCCGAACTAAGATGTTGTGACTTTGGCTACACAAGTACTTCGTCAAACTGGAGCATGACATGTTTACATTCTAGGAGTGCAGCATACTGCATTTCCCCGATTATAAGTCACAACGCAATTTTAGATCTGAGCCAAATTGCTGCAGTATATTCACAAACTGAATAGGAATTAGTTACACTCGATTGTAAGTCACACCCCGGCCCCTTCTTTCCCCTTGAAGGTTAGTGTGAAAAATTGCGACTTGCAAGTGCATTCGGAAAATACGGTCCATGTAGTGATGTGCGTATGTATAGTATACACATGCGTGCGTGCGTGCAGTGCAGTGCAGTGTACAGCAGAGCTTGAAGATGAAGCCTGCAATGGCTACTACCTCCTGACTTGTGTTGCCAATCTACAGTACACGTGCACACAGGTGTGCGTATGCACCCGGTAAAGACCGCACCGCATTCCTTTCTCCTCGCAGGTTGCGTATAGACCAGTTCATAGAGGGCAGGTATGCAGAGGGGTAATAGTAGTAGTAGTAGAATAATTTATTATTTTGATAGGGAAGGCCCTACAAACGCTGCCGTCTTGTTACAGGGAACCCTAAGTCAGGCCGCGCTGGGCATTGATAACACCATGGTGTGATAACCGGATTGTTCTTTGGTTCTCTACACACGTGCCGTGCACTGCAGGAAACAATTGCGTTCAAGGGCGGTCCGGCGGCGAAAGATGTAGACCTGTTCCACAATCGTCAGTCGTTGACCGACAGCCGCACCATCACTCAATGTGGTCTGAGGCCGGAGACGAGACTTGCGGCACGCGGAAAGTCCACGGCGGCCGCCCAGGAGGGAGCGCCGCTACTGAGCGGAGGCGGCGGCTCGGGATCTGGCCGCAAGTGCTGCACTATACTGTGATTGTGGATGTACGCGGCGGCACCGTACTGGTTGCAACTCACCCGGACGAGACACAGGCACTGTTGGAAGCTGCAGTACGGGCATCTCAACATGCCGTGTACGTACGGGCAACTGTCACGGACAGCGTATTGGGTTCTCTGAGGTCTTACCCACTGGCACAGACTAGCTTTGACGTGAACACTTTCATGTGACACGCGTATGCTGTGCTGTTCCATGCCCTGTATCTTTGTGGGAGAAGCTATAATTCTAACCCCGGATGATGCTACTACATACATGTATTCCACCGAGTACAGCTTGCTGAATGCTTTGCTACTGCCGCCGCTGCTGCTGCTGTCCGTGGTACTGCTCCCCTTTCTGCTGCTGCTGGTATTGGCCAGTGAACCAAGTCCCACGCCAGGCCTTGGGCGGGTCAGCTGTGGTGTTTGTAGGGTCTGTAAAGGCACTGGCCATTAGCACGCACTCTATGCACACTTCTTGCTGCGTTGGAAGAGACTCCCATTTTTATTAGGGTGACTTTAGCCAAATGCAGAATAATCCAGAATCCTCTCTCTCTCTCTCTCTCTCTCTCTCTCTCTCTCTCTCTCTCTCTCTCTCTCTCTCTCTCTCTCTCTCTCTCTCTCTCTCTCACTCTCTCTCTCTTTCTTTCTCCTGCTCTTTCTCTCTTCTGCCCCAGAAAGCTATGCCTGTCAGTCAAGGTGTCTGCTGTACATGTTGACAAGCGACACATGGCCGACACATGGCCATTTTCTATGAATTTTACGTTGAAGAATTTCTCCCCTTTTGTACTATACACGTACAGTTATGACTGTATCATTGTTCTCAGCAGAGACGAGGTGTGTCACGAACCACTTGCTTGTAGAAAATAAAATCGAGTTCGTATACGATAATATTTTACTCTACTCTTCCTCCCTCTCTTTCTTCCCGTCTTCCAATTTCATCTGAAATTCACAGTCGACTATTATGATAAGATTTTACGGCTTTAGTAACATCTACCGGTATTTGGTACTACATGAAAAGGGAAGGTTGTGAACAGATGTATAGTGTGTGACAATTTGCAGTGTGTGACAATGTGCAGTGCATGTATGTTCAGCCGATCAGTTGTTTCTCGTCCCGGCTATGGAGGTTCATCGGGGTGCACCTTGGGTGAATCAATGGATTGAGTGTTGCACCTTCTGGATATGCTGATAAAGTCTCCGCTTGTTCATTATCACACGCCCCTTCTTCCGTAGGTACAGTATGTGCAATGTGATAAAAAAATAAGAACACACATACTGCTGCCGAGAGTTGGTGATCATCAGGTATCATCGTGTTGGCCTTTTTGTCCCGCCTTATAGCACAGTGCATGCTAAATTGGACCACTACCTAGCTGTATATTTATCCCACACATGACCAGATGACGTCACCGCACACTTCCTGGATCTCTCCCCCCCCCCCCCCCCCTCCCCGTGCATACAATCACTGACTGTATCTGTCAGTTGCAGTGCATAGTGCTGATCACACCATCTGAGACTAAGCTCACACCTTCACTTGTGTCTCATCCCTACATGGATTACATTGACCTTACTACAACCTTCCGCAACACCCATAATTATGGTTCAAATGGTCCGCAGGGACCGGGGCTATGGAATGTACATGTATCATGCTTATATCGTCGTGTACCGGCATGGAATAGTCCCATATCCATGGTAATCAGCCACCGCTTCCTGATGATTGCTCAACGAATGAAACTCGAAGCTTCATCCACGGGTAGCTCTTGCTCATGTGTATCTCCGGTTATACAGTCGTGTTCAAGTTGAACTATTACTCCCCTATGTTTTGTCCTTTTGTCCTTTTCCTCGTTTCTTTTGTTCTCCACCTGTATTCCAGTAGGGCTGTGTCAATAGTAAAAAAAAAAACTCCCTCCCCCCCCCCCCCCCACCCTCTCTCAATTTTCTCCGTCACAAGCATACTTGCCAACCCTACCGGATTTTCCGGGAAAATCTAGGGAAACTCGCTTTCGTCCCGGTAAAAATGTCCGTCAGCATCTCTTTTTGTTGACTTTCAGTGTTTTTAACGCTCACAGCGCCAAACCCCCAACGAAGCTCTAGACTAGCGAGCAAGAACTCTTGAGTTAGCGCTTGGACAAGTACGTTTTGTCGCATATGCTGTCGAATTTACGAGCATGATGTGTAAGATCAAGGAAAAATGGGCACAATCAAGGAAAACCTCATCCGTGTCAAGGAAACTGTTTCCCAGGGGTTGGCAAGTACCGGTATGCACAAGCCCGAGCCTTCCACCCTTGAGCAGTGTGGTCAACGAATGCATGACTCACACTTCACAGCAGGTGGGATAGCACCATTTTGTGTCATTACATGCGCGTCGAGATGGTACGGCTGCATGTAGGCATGTGCACTTTCATTAAAAGAAGAAGAAGAAGAAGGAAAAGTACTGTGGCTGTCTCGCATGCAAGGACGCCTGTGACTGTGTACTGATATGTACGTGTGTGCACTTTCAGCTCGGCTTACTTTCGTCATGTCCACTCCACCACTGTCATTGTCCTTATCATGTGTGCAATCATGTGTCAAGCTATCGTCAAACATGTCGACTGCGCGTACTGCAGTCCCGTCAAGAGTCACGGGATAATAATGTTTCCGCATTTCAGCAACAACCTTTCGCCTTGGCCATGAATGGCATTATTAGTAATACATTTAACTAGTGAGAATGAATGACGGCTGATTATCGTGCTATAGATCTACAGGACACACTCTCCTTAGGCTTAGATGAATTACTGACTGTTTCTCTTCAGGAAACTTACAGTTCTAACATGTTCGGAGACGGTTTACTGTCTGATTCTCAGATTCTTTAACAAACCATATCGGTTACAGGGTTCCATAGGTTGTTAGGTCTTGCGTGCTGCCCTTGTGGACACAACACACTGCCCTGGCCGCGTTACTCCGCAGCTGTCCACTGAAGAGTGGCGACCTGTTTAGTTGTGCACGACGGAGGCCGGAGCCCGAGGCCTTAGCGCCACTGATTGTCCCGGTATCTCTACCACAAACGAGGGGAGCCCGCAACGTATCTGCACTCACCTGTTCTGCCGTCACTCGCCATCAGTCAGAATAGATCTACGGTAAGTGTCTTCATTGACTAGCAATCGGACTAGCGGAGGCTTATGATCTCCTTCATGGCGACATGATGTTTTCGAAATGATGCATCGAGACACACATTCACCACTGAACACTGAAGACAATATGCAATGACACGTCTATGGAGAGTAGAGACCTTTATGCCTGTACACAGTGAGACCTCACAGCATACCCTACAGCTCCAACGGGCAAACGTCTGTATTCTGTAGTCGAGGTACAAAATAATTACCGTTCAAGACAATTCGACACAGTCTAACTGATGCTAGCAGGGTCGAGATCAGCAGTGTATACGCGAGGGTGCGGATCAGCAATGAGCAGCAAGAAAGAAGCTAGCTCATCCGTACAGGAGCTCTCGTGGAGAAAAGGCGTAGAAAACATGACAGGTTGTTCTCTCTCTGTCTCTGCCTCTCTCTGATCTGTGTGTGTGTGTGTGTGTGTGTGTGTGTGTGTGTGTGTGTGTGTGTGTGTGTGTGTGTGAGAGTGTGTGTGTGTGTGTCTCTCTCTCTCTCTCCGGCTCTGTGTATCTGTCTTTATCGGCCTCTCTCTCTCTCACTCACTCACACACACACACACATACACACACACACACACACACACACACACACACACACACACAGAACACCGCACACCACACACACACACACACACACACACACACACACACACACACACACACACACACACACACACACACACACACACACACACACACACACACACACACACACACACACACACACACACACACACACACACACACACACACACACACACACACACACACACACACACACACACACTCTCTCTCTCTCTCTCTCTCTCTCTCTCTCTCACTCTTAGTATAATGTAATAGTGACTAATACTGATGTGCCTGATCGTTCTGTTCTGATCACGATCCAGTCCTCCACTGCAGCAAGCAGTCAGCCAATCACACAGTGCAGTGCGCTAACGTCACATCCAGTCACGTGACAGGTCCCGGTCGCATTGCATTGCATTGGTGACTGCACTGCCTTCTTCTACCCTGTACTGTAGTGTACTGAGTGACTGTAGCCATGCACATGCACATTACATTTCCAGAGCCTGGCAGAAAGAGAGTCACCATGGAGTTCTATGGCTCTGAAACTGTAGCCACGCTGAAGGTACAGTTCATGGGAAAGTGTTGTACAGTCTTTAAGTTTTAGTTAGTAGAGCACGATTAATGTTAGCAATGACTTTAATACTAGGTACAATGTACTTGAGAGGGGGGGGGGGGGGGGGGGGAATGCATCTGACCCGTCTGAGGAGCTCTGACTGTGAGTCTAGCCACGAAAATCAATACTTTTTTTTAAATTTCGGCCAGTCGGCTACTATCATTTCGTCTTGGGGGTTAGACAAGGGGAAGTAGCCATGTAGGGGCGTTAGCCCGCCTTTCGGCACCGGAACGGGAGTTGCAGCTCGCTCGACTTGACTCTACTGAGTGCAGAGGACCCACACCTTGATCTGGTGAGCTGCGTCGTGGGGATTTTTGCAGTCAGATGTGCGACTGCGGGGCTCGAACCCAAATCAATACCTTGCTACATAGGATCATACTGCATGTATGAAGCACATCCATACCCTGTCATGTACCTGTATACTGTAACCAAGAATACTCAGTCTGCGGACAGAACTGTTTCGTCCAGGGAGTCGTAAAATACCGGTATTTTACGACTCCCTGGTTCCGTCCTTTGTGGACTCATCAGCGCAGCACAGATGAAATGAAGCCGAACCTGATGTCAATGACCAAGACGGCAAGAGTATAATAATTATACTCTTGAGTATAATAATTATACTCTTGGTGCTGTGTAACGTGTAGAAGAACTCTGGTCGACACACGTTCTTGATTGCTTGCCTAGTACTAGTAGTAGTACTTCGTAGCTGTCTTGGGCATCCGCGGCAAGGCTATTCGAAGACCGTTCACTGCCTCGTGGTTTGTGGTAGCGCTATTCCTATCTACCTGTCGACGCAAGCTGATTGTGGAGGTAGTACTTGAAGTGTATGTATGACTTATGTATCTGTATCTGCAACATGTAAAGAGTTAAAGCACGTTTGAACTACATGTAGCTCTGCCTCTAGGTATTGAGCACCACTCTTTTGGACAGCCTGGAATCTCTCTCAGTCTCTGTTTTAGCGTGTCAGGCTGTAGATTGTTGACATGTTAGGTCCGGGATGTGAGCTAGGACTGATCGGTATTCATGCCGCTGATAGCCATGGTAACTGCAGGCATGTAAACGTACATGTCTGCGGGCTCAGTGCTATCTCAGGCACGGTGGTGGCCTGGCATAAGGGAAGCCTCCTAATCTGGCTGTGCTTTTCAATACAGTTGTATAGCGCGTGATAACGCGAAAGTGCAAGTTTTACTCTCCATTTTTCAAGTTCACCGGGACTTTTCACATGTTTGTATGACGTGAGAGTTAGCACACGCAGTTTAGGACATCTAAGCACGAAGAGCTGTCCAGTCTGCAGTATCGTACACGGGATCCGCAGGCATACGTCATGTAATCTCTTTCAAACTTCACTTTTGGTTGTGTCTTTCCAATGTCTCGTCATTTCCTCCCGCGGTGCGCGAGTTGCACTTCCACTTTCCACAGTTGGGTATGTCTACATTCAAGTACATTGTACATTGTAGACTTGTTGGACGTAACGTCACCGTGCGAACAGTTGACTTGAGCATGCAGCGCTGCACTGCATGTTAGTGGTTGTAGTCTGAACAGCCAGATCTAAGAGCTACACGTAGTTGATGTTTCTCGTCGACACCGGTGCTTGCCGCGGAGGAAAAGGTGCCAAGGTGTCTGGTCGAGTTCGGGTGTTTCGTCGGAGCGCAGTGCACCATGGTTCATGCCGAGTATGTCGGGTATTACTACCTCCCTCAGCGCTTGCATGCCAGTTTCAGAGAGCATGCCCCGGGTACTCGTCCCTGCGAGGAGTCAGGAAAGTGTTGATCGAGCGGGCCAAACGGCAGTACAATCACCGAGCGCTGGACGCTGAACCAGTGCTGGTCTCAATCGACGTCACCAAGCCGCAGGACAGCAGTGCGGAGCCACGTCTGGTCGTGCAGTCCTCCGTACATACCCAGCAGGCTCTGTTCTCCAGCGACACACTGGGACGAAGGAGAGGAGCAACAGCCCAGGGCGTAAACGTCAAGGATGCCACCTCGGTGGAAGCAGCCAGAAGACGATCGACAGCGGCGCTGCAGACCAGGGAAGGGTCAAGCTGTGACAGCCTTGCAGGCAAAGAGAGGTACAAACAGTACTGCGATACCGTCGGAACGAACTTGCTACTCTCGATGTACGTAGGCCACTTGTTCTCTTTCCTTGAGCGACATCCGAGTTGTTGTACCAGCCCTGGAACCTATAGGAGAGAGAAGTCACACGGATCAATGCTACATGGCAACAAAAAACGAAAGAGCGCTTCATCGTCATCCATCTCGTCCGTCTCTTCTTCATCACCATCATCATCATCTTCATCATTGAGAAAAGCCTCTTTTACGGGCAAAGCAAATGTATATCATTACAATATGTAAAGTGAACAGGGGAAATCAACACAAAACCAACCGGAAAATGATGAAACACAAAAGCAGTCAAGGAAGTAAATCAATACAAAAACAAGCAATGAACACAGAGTAATAAAAGGGGAAAAAACCAAATAGCATTATATTAAGTTGAGGCCAAAGGCAGCACCCTACTCCGCCTGGCGGCACTGGGCCAGAAATGAGTTCGGCTGTCGCCTCTTGCCGTACGAACCGCGGCAACCGCGGAAGCAGGTGACTGCCCATCGCAGCAAGCAGAAAGACAAACGGGTGCGTAGTATGCCCATTACTAGTGGGTACTTCAGTTCAGTATGGCGCTCAACAAACAGGGAGGCCAATGATTTCAGGAATTGAGTAGTTTCTGGGCCACTAAAGCCGTACGTCGAGAACACAAGTGGCGTGAAGGAGCCGCGCTCCACGTTAACCACACGGCTGGCGTATTGATTTTTCTTGTTTCGCTCGTGAGACTTCAGCTGACTCAGGGCTTGTGATCGAGACAACACAGACGCTGCGGGATGAGTGATCCGCACATCAAAGTAAGCGTCCTGTTGCCACGACCAAAAGCCGCGAGCCCGCACATCCAGACGAGCTTCTGCGCATCGGTTGAGGGAACGACCACCAGGCAAATGCTCACTGCTGCAGGGCAATAGCCGGGGCTCCGTCTCTACGTCCACCACTCCAGCCTCCCTCAGTAGTCCAGCAACCAAGTCCCGCACCTCATTGTGACGGGCAATGGTATAGCCGCCAGTGGCACAGGTAAGTGCATGAGCGGGGCTGAGAGGCACACCACAAACACATGAATCGGGTAGCCCACTCAACCTTCGCCCATAGCGGATGCACAGGGCATCACGGAAGTCGGATTTCTTCAGGATGGTTCCATCTTGCCACCGCGGGGCAACAGTCAACCATGACGATACTCCCTTTTCGGACGCGATTTCAACAAGAAATTGTTGCTGCGAGCTCAAGTCCGCCTTAATGTCTTGTTGCCGGCTGCATAGGCTCCGCATTTTGCTTGTCCGAGTCGAGCGTGCCAGCTGGCGGGTGTCCCCAACAGCATCGCGGACGGGATCATGATTGGAGAGCCTCACTCGGTCGGCAACCTCCTGGGTTGTATCACCGGAGCCCTCTGACTGGGCAGTATCCGACAAATCGCTCCTTGCCATATCACCAGGCACGCTTGGAGGGTTCGCATATGTGCCAGTCAACAGTAGCTGAACAAGAGGCTTCGTGATGCTCAAGGATGCTGCGAGCTCTGCTGGTGCACTATCCTGCAACAGAGGGAGGGCCAAACCACCAAGACGCACTGGAAATGACATCAGCTCTCTCTCAGGGCTACCAGGACGAACGCCATCCCCCAGAAGGGCAGGTATCAGGCAATCATTGATCCTCTCATCAAGCTCGGCCAGTATCTCAGCCGAACAAGGTGAGCAACGCAAGTGGTATGTCCATGTGGATGACAGACCCTTCGTAAAAACGGTGTATGCGGCCTGAGGCTGAGTGACAGCCATCCCCGTCAGGGAATCCAGAACCTGCTTCCATTTATCCACCTTCTTGGCCATGAAGGCAGAGCAGAACTCCTCACTGCCAATCGCTCCGCCGAGGTGACGGTTGCCGCTGGTCTTGATGGTAACTCCAGTGGCGGAGAAGAGGCGCTGGGCCTCTTCCTCATGCTCCGGCTTGACCAGCAACACTGATTTCTGTGGGTTTGGAAAGTATCCATAGTCAGGGCCCAGTTGGCTTATGTCTCCCCAGTATGTGGACAATGAAGAAACGCGGCCACCTGCAGAATCGTCGTCCGCGTACCAAACCTGAGCCACAGATGGATTGGATTCCTGGAGGCGCCGAATCATCGGGACTGTAGCGATACCATACAGAGCCATGGCCAGCGGATCGCCCTGGCAAGTACCCTCCAGTGACTCAATCTCCCCGCCGCCGGAGACGAAGAGACGAATTGAAGAACTGTACGTGTTCTGGAACACCTTTGCCATAGCGGGGCATACATAGGGCACGTTATGGAGGGCCGCGTTTCTATTCAATGAATTGAACGCATTCGTAGCATCTACATCATCTTCATCATAATCATCATCATCATCATCATCATCATCATCATCATCTGTGCATGGTGGTTGTGGGAGGCTGTGCAATGTGTTCCTCAAGAGACTGTGCCAGATGCAGGCCGAGTCATCGGGATCTCACTATTCCCAGGTCATTGGTTTACTCCGCTGTCGGCTGTCTTTTGCTTTGCTGCGTGCTGCTGTGTTGTGCATACGTGGGGCTCGGTCACGGTACCACCATCCGGCGAGATGTTTTCATGATGTCTCGATTGCCGTGGCCGAGTCAGGTCTAGTTTGTTAAGTATCGTGCTGTGTCCTGACTGTGCATGCGGGATTGGTATGGCGCTTACCCTTTTGTTGCTGTTTTGTTGCTTTCATGCCTTTAAGCATGTAATTGTGTTCAATTGTTGTATTTCATGGAAAAACGATCTTTGCGTCGGATTCATTTAAACTATTATTTGTGTAGGGTTCCACTCCTTCATCTTGGGAAATTGTGTTTTGTTTGCCCAAAGAAGTGGATCATCATCATCATCATCATCAT